TAGTATTAGTCTTAATCTGTAAGAAAAATATATTACTTTTACATTAATAGTTAGCACATATTATAAAAGTTATTTATATATATTTTATTAATATAATTTTATTCTAAAATAATATATTTATTTATTTTTGTTATCTTTTATAAATATAAAACGTCAAATATTTTTATATTATTATTATTGATTTTATATAAAAAATATAAAAAACCATTGATAAAAAACCTGAATTTTGATAACCCGGAATTGAACCGGTGCCCTTCGACTTCATTATACTATCATTCTTATTTATCCGAGCTACCGATCGCATTTTCAATGATACCGAAAATGTGGGTTAGTTTATAACTTTTATTATTGTCTATTATTAATTATTGACGCCATCTTTTAATTGGTTTGCTTGACTTGACTTAGATGGCGCTATATTAAGTCCTCGGAAATGTGAAAATTAACATAATTTATGTGTATTTGAATATAAATATATTATTGTTTCTTAATTATTATTTTAACCATTAAAAACCTTATTGTGTGCCTCTGCAGTGTAAAGTATTCAAGCTTTGCAGGGTTATTTTCATTTAAAAGCAGCGCCATCTAGTTATCAATGGTAGCGTTATGCAAAACCTGTCAGTCAATAGTCGACCTTAAGCTCTCCATGCATTTTTGTCACCCTTAGTACATATACAATTTAGCCGACATTACTCGATAAAACTGAATATAAAACAAGTACTATGCCATAAATAGATACCCTTCTGCCTAATCCATGGACAGCCACCACCAAAAAGGGATATTCTCCTGTTTCGTTTACTATACGCGCAATGAGCAGGACAGAAGAAACAAAAACCACGAAAAACGCTTATATACGAGTTATCTTCAAATATCAAACGAATATGTTGTAAAGGTTTCTGCATATTAGTATCTTTACCTAGGTTAAAGCGCCGGCTTCCCATGCATAAGGTCACGCCACCGCGGGTACGAAAACCTGGTAAGTACCAATGTGACTTTTTCCGAGTTGAATGTTTGTTCTTAGTTTATTTAGGCACCACAGGCTTACGGCTACGGCTAAGAAAAACATCATAAGGAATTCTAGAGTTATAATTTCCAAAATTGTAATTGTAAGTTATAACTCGCCAATTAACCTTGAACAAGCGTGGTAAATAATGCTCAGATCTTATCTCTGTGAGATCTATCTGTGCGTTTGCTCAACATTGGGCACTAATAGCCTGATGATGATGACGATGACTAAGTGTACTCACTACTCAATTTGTTTACTGATAGGTACTTAAACAAACCTATCTACGTATGTGAACTAATGCATAGTAACCTTTTTTTATCTAAACTATTTCCCGGCTTACAATCTCTATGCTTAAACCTTTTTTTACGTGCTACGCTTTAGTCTATTGTTCGTTTTTGTGCTCACTATTGCCTATCGATTGCAAAAGATTATTGAATAGAGTAATACTCTCGAAGAATCGATTGAATTTAAGGTTACCTACCTGTTAGTAGGTATACGGGCTAAATTGTTAGTGGCATGTTGCAACTTGCAATACTAGATACTTAGTAAATCATTAGGTACAGAATAAATTGTATTGGTTAGTTAATTTTAGTTTATTCTTAAGAACGTTAACGCGGTACGCACTGCCTTATTTTTAGTCTATCTGATGTTAACGAAAATGGCTAGCCATACACAATAACTAAAGATCTAAAAACTTTACTTAGTAGGTACTTTTTTGAAAAAGAGTTTATAAAGACAGAAAGATATAATTTTAAGTATTAAATATCTGATATCATAAACCTTCATTATATGTATAAGTAAGTATATTATATTGGTATTAATATCTATGGAGTATCACTAAAATCGGTAAAGTGTTAGGTAAAGATTTTGATGTTATGAATTAAATCACGTCAATACCATAAATTCTATATGAACTGTATTGGCGAAACCGCTGGTAGTAGCATCTTTTTGTAAAAGCAAAATCATCAAATGACTTCTCTCGCCCAGCCAACCGACCTACTAAGTAAGAGCAGATGGAACGGAGGTTTTTAGGGTTCTCGTTAACAGAGAGGGTGTCAGACTCTTACTGACTAAAAACCTCTGTTCCAATTGCTCTTATTTGGATGTTAACGAAATAGGTCATACATTTAAAATCATGCAAATTACTAACGTATTAATATAAAAAATAACATTAAGGGCCTAGGTACAGCTTATGCTTTATGAAGGACAGTAAAAATAATATCATAATTGTAACGACAATGACATAAAAACAAGCCCACTTCGTTAGAAATAGAAGCAACATAAAATTAACATACGACTGATAATTATACTTACCAACCATTAAAACGTGCGAAATAGGTAGGTACCTAGCCTATATGCCTAAAACGTACACGTTAAATAAATTAAACAATAAATATTTTAAAAGGGATTCATTCATCAACAATAGCTAGTATCAAAATCTTTATTAAAACATTGTTCAGCTTAAACACAGTCATATTATAGTTATGTAACCACGTACATTGTATGAGCGAGATAAGTAAACATTGAATAAGTAATTATCAAAACCACAGCACCTCGCGTATTACTCATAAGACCGGTTTTGTATAAAACATTTAGCACAGAATTATACATTGTGCTTTTTCATAGAAAAACTTAACTATTGACGGTTAAAAACACAGCAATGTATTATGAATTTATAAGCGTCGCTGTCTACAAGGCTACCGATTTAATGTCTGTAAATAATCTTGATCCTTGTTTGGTATTGAATCGTGAACTTGACCGTGAATGTTTGCACGTTGTTTAGTCGTGTTATGTCTGAGTTCTTTCTAATAAAAAATCTTAAGTTACAGGCCTGCCATGTTGCTATTCAATGTACGCATTGGAACATACATGTAGGCATATGGGTCGATATCTTATTCATTATATACAATAAATTATATTATGTAACTTTGGAAAACAAATACCATACCTACCGTAAAAGAATTAATTTTGTTCAATAAGTATTTGCTACAAACGAATATACTAAATAATTAAATAATAGAAACTAAATGGGTATCTAATATTAAAACTTCAGTAATATTTGACTCAGTAATAAAATAATGAGCAAGATATCCAAAATTAAGTAGGTACATTACAGTCATACTACCTATATCAATGGAACTAAGAAGGCTATCATAGTTTTTCACAGTATGCTAATTAGTTAATTAGAATAAGTACTTATAGTGCACACACACAAGCGTAATGATGACCCCGGCTCGGAGGAAGAGAAGGAACGGGTACTCTTATTGACACAAAATTAGGGTCAGTAAGAGTCTATTCTTTTTCGCTCCACCTAGGAAGGGAGAAGCCATCCGATTTAAAATTTAAAAAAAATATCAGAATAATTGTACCTACTTAAATACTTAAAATTTAATGTTCATTATCATTGACTGATTTTACATTTAACTTTTCCGATTTAAGTCTATTGCATTAGAGTTGCGAAAACGCCACCGAAACCAGTTACAACACCATCCTAGTCAATTGTAAAACCTTCGGTTATGAAACCGATAATTTCATTTCAGTTTCCTTTTTTTAATTTATTGCTGAAAAGAAATTTGACAAGCCCTTGTCCCAATTTTCTTATCAAGGCTTTTGATAATTAATTTTGTGTTTGCATATAGGTACTCATTGGAGGAAGATGATCAAATCCGACCTTTTAAAAAAACATTAAGAATTAAATAAATACATTCTCTTGACAACAAGATTAGGTAGGTATTCTCCAAAAATAATTCGACTAATTACAGTATACGATTATCTAATCTTGTTTTAATTTGTCTATTAGAAATCAAATAATCGTTCACTTAATAAAGTAGCATTATCAATCATAAATGACCTAGTAACTATAATTTAATCAATATTAAGTAAAAATAAACAATTTCTTTTATGACTAAATCCCATATGGGTAGTGAAAACAATAGCAGTGTGTGTAATTAAATGTGTTAATAGACCTACCTCATTAAGCATATTTTATTAACACGGCTTCGCTGTTTATGAATGATCTAGTTTGAACCCAGCCAGACCCGATAATAAAATATATGCTTTTCCCTTTATGTTCCGGTAAATTTATCCTGATTATTTGGTACTTTAGCATTGACCGAGATCTTGACTACATTCTTCGGAAGTAGTGATGTATAGCCAGCCATATAAAGTTTTATTGAACAACCAATCGAAATGCAGAAAATTGCATTAAATAATCGCAACCGCTGTCAGATGCTGATCACCTTCTCAGCGAGTGACTTGAGCGTACGTGATCTCAAAGCCGATGGAGAAGTTGTTGAGTGCATATTTTGGGTCACGGGCGGGTACTATGGGCATCGAAGAGCGGCTGTTGGCCATATGACATTTCGCGACAGAAGTTTCAATAACTAAAACACGCAGTTTCTACTTTAAACATAATTTAAATGACATCGTTTATTAAGATGTAATGAGCATATACAATCAGTAGATACAATGATCTGTTTTTCATAAATGTTATCAAGTATTTGTGTATGAGTTTCTTATCGCTCACTGTTAGAAGTAGGCCTTCGGTTCTTGTTGTTTGGTGGGTTATGCGCTCCGGTTGCCGGGTGCCTACGTGACGAAGCCCGCGTGGCGAGGTTTGGGGCGAGGGGCGCCGGGCCCGTTTGTTTTGTTGCGTGCGCATCGTAGTGATGGGCGTTTTATATTTATTTTTTTCACCGACAATGTTTTGGTCGATAAATTTATTAGAAATACAAAAAATATGAATAGAATTTAATTGCTTTAATTTCACTAACCATTAAATGTAAAGAGAAAATGGCACGTACCTCACAAAAAAAGACTAGTCAGCAATTTCCAAAAGCAGTTATTAGGGTCACGTTAATTATAATACAAATAATTGCAAACAATAATTTTATCGAAGCATTACAAATATCATGAGGGAATCACGTGCTCATAAGACGGCGGTGATTAGAACGTCGATATCGACAGAAGTAATGTAAACATTACGAACATCGCTATCGTATCACTGGAGCTTGTAAGGAGGCAAAACACAACAAAGAATCAGTCGGTTTTACGAATCCAACGCGAACAGACGCTACACGTATTAAAATAATAAAATAAATATTATTACTGAATTAAACTATTATAAAATATAAAAAAAGTTTGTTAACTTATAAATCTATTTGGAGGAAGAGAATAATAAAAGTTTTCAAGATGTTTTCGACGAAGAAAAGTTTGGACAAGATTCTGCAAATCTACAAGAAGGAGATTCGTCGGCAAATCAGCAAGACGACCAGCGTAACCAACTCCGATGCCATGGTTCCGAGGCTTGACCAGCCGTCATCGAAGCCAGCTCAGAACGACGAAACTGGTCTGCCTAAGAAGCTTTTGAAATTGCAAAAATATCACAGGTCAGTGAACTCATTTGAACTCGGCGACATAACTTTGCGTAACCGAAGCCGTATCATGCAGTACTTAGTATGAGTTAAAATAATTATTAATGTGGGTACACTCGCTAAAAATAACACCAATAAAGCGAGTAGGTATCTAGGTATATGGCAATATTTTGCTCAAACGCAATGAATTCGAGCCGGGGCGTTAACTATCATGCGAAAAGAACGTGACACAGCTTCAAGTTACACGTCCACTTACAAATTTAAATTAACAATAGAACGCAGGTATTTTCAAATGCGCGTAACATGTACACTGAATTAAATAGATTTCGTTGTAGTGCATAACAAATTTGTATTCATACAAGAAATTTTGTACCAATTCATAACTAACCGAGAAAGTTTGCTTATTAGATAGATATTTTCTCATATCTAAATTGTTTAAATCTTACTGGATTTTATCAAACAAATGGTATTTTTATTGTTTGTAAATTGTTCATAGTAAGTCAGTCGGTGAAAATCCCGTATTTTTTCTGATGTTTAGATACCTGTCGACCCTGACTACCCAGGAAATGCCGATGGCTACCCGAGGACTGGCCGTGTCGAAGGACCAGTCCCGGGAGTTCATGGCTTGCTTCCCGGACATCGTGCGGGACCTCACTGAGACTGGCAAGCACATTGATGTGCCAGAAGCCAGCAAGTGGTTGGCTAAGGTACGTTATATGTCGCTACGGTCAGTCGTAAGTGAAGTGCGTTGTTGAAACCTGTTATAAAAACTGACTAGAAACTCGCCTATCCACTGCGTCTGGATGGACTTTATACCTAACTAGATTTAAATTACTACACTTATCGCAATGAGTAAATATATCTGTAATGCCATGCAATTTTCGCTGCATCTGTCTATACATTAAAGTGGATTTTGTTATGCTCAGTTTTTATAGCAGATTGTCACATTTCAAAATTGCTGTTTTTTTTTCACTTTAGCTGTTTGTCATTTTTTTTATTTGGGTCGTAAACAGTAGTAAAGTTTGTCATTGTAAATTTATTGAAACATAAACAAAAATAATGAGTTTTGACGTCAAACTGTATCGCTTAGCTCTGCCATCGTCCTGCACAGAAATAAAACAATTAAGTATTGTAATTACTTATGCATGCAAATTACTTAGTTATTCTACTAGGAGCCATTGATTCTCCTATTGACTCAGAACCATTGTTTTGATAAAGTAAAAACTCATACAATAACAAAAACTACCTGTACGTAATACGAATTGGATTTAACTACGCAGTATCAAAACTATTCGGTCACGGTACAATAACCGTATCGAATATTTTTAAACATTTAACAACCAATCTAAATTCATCAGTAAAAATACTTTTATTGTAGTCTACTGAAGTAGTTATATTTTTTCAAGGCTGACTTACACTTAAGGACTTGTACTAGGTACTTACCTAACTACATAAACAGTTGAACATTCTTAGGTATTTATGTCATGTATTCATTTCGTATTGTTTTTTTTCAGCTGTTGCAATACAATGTGCCGAACGGTAAAAAGAACAGAGGTTTAGCGACAGTGCTGGCTTACAAAATGCTCGAGAAGAAAGAAAACTTGACACCCGAGAACATTCACCTTGCTAATATGATGGGATGGTGCGTCGAAATGGTAAGTTATAAAAATAAAAGGTTCATAATTTGGATAAGCGGATTTATGAAAGTATTTTTATTAATATTGATATACGAAAATAAAATTATCTTTCAAAATATGTAACATATACATCTGAAACAGCAATAAATACATATTATAAACCTAGATAATACACGTGTTGATTATAACATACTTAACGATAAAAGATTGTCAAAATATAGCAACACAGAGTATTCACGCGGTACCTACGCCACGCGACAAAAAATATCGTCCGAGTGCGACGCTAGGTACAAAAAAAAATCGTTTAAAAAACTAGTTTATCGTGTTCCTCTATGTATGGACCTGGCCTTGGAATTATGTTTTTGCACTCCACATAATATATTTTGATAAACTAACATAAACATACCGACACACACATTCGTATGCTCCTATGTGAGTAGTGTGTTTTTATCTTGCCACCATGGATATTTCAACTCACAAGCAAATGATATTTTTAAATTAATAAATTGATAAAATTGTTAAACATTTCATTCTGAGTTATTGTAAGATTATCAACCGAAGCATTCATATTTATCACATCACGTGTTAAAAAATGCGTTTACCTTATTAATTCATCACGGCTATTACAAAGGATGATAATATTTGGTAGACGAATAAATATTAGCATTAATACATTTAAACTTTGTTTATCCATCAATACATACGACGGGTCATTAAAATTATTCGAATTTCGAATAATAATAATGTCGAAGAGTGTCTGCCATCTTGTATTTTGGTCACATTTTAATATGGCCGCGAGTACCTGCCATTTAATATCTTGTTTATTTATTCAGCTTGTGTCGATACAAACATTCCACATTCTGTTTATTTACCTAAGTACAATTAAAAAGAGGATAAAAATATATTGCGCTATTTACCATTTAAGAAAAAGACGTGTCTTTAGTTAGCTAGACCGACTTTATTTAATTGTTATGGCGTTCGGTTGCAATAACATCGAGAAACTTCAAACCTAGATATTTACAGACTAGAATTTACTTAGTTTACTATTTACCTACCACTGTAATATTAGCATTAGATTTATCTAAAAATATACTAGTAAACTCAACAACTCCGCACATTAATCATTCCATTTTATTGACACTAGCAAGAATAAACATTCGTTGGTTTACACTTCAAACGTTTTTAAGTACTTTTGTGTATATATTTGTAAGCATTTACTTCTAAATTCGAATATTTAAAATAACGAATGACCTATGGACTTGTGAAACATTTAAACTTTAACCTGTAGTAAAGTATTTTTTTTTTCAATTTTAATGTTTGTGAGAGAGAGGAGTGTTGTAAAAAATACAATTGGAACATTAAAATGTCGAATCATACGTCTTAGGCTGATTTTTCAATGGTTAGATAAAAGTTACCTGGGTAACAATTATGATGCTGTCGCGGCAGAATGTTTGTATAAGACAGTGACAGCAACAATTTTATTCCTCAGATAACATTTATCTGACTATTATTAAATCAGCCTTTAAATTAATAATGACATTTTACAGTTAAAAATATACTAAGTATCTAGAGTTAATTATTTATACATGTATGTATATTTTTACGAAGGTACTTATAATTACGTAGCTATCAACATATCAATTGTTCCTAATAGAACATTATTGTCCACAGTTCCACACCCACCAATTACTGCTGAGTGATATCATGGAGGGCACGGAGATGCGTCGTGGGGCGCCCTGCTGGTACAAACATCCAGAGGTCGGCCTCACAGGGATCAACGACGCCTCTCTAGTCCAATCAGCCATGTTTTCAACCATCAAACGTCACTTCCACAGCAAAATGTACTACAAAACCGTCCTTGAGACGTTTAATGAGGTAAGTCGATAACATATTTTATGTTTTACGACCTTCCTGACTTTGTTTGTGTGTTTGGATACAGCAAAAAGCCGAATTAATACAAAATATACTGGCTACTAAAAGCTACTAAAAATGTCAAAATATATTCTAACTAGCTTCTCTCGCGTGGTTTCACCCGCTGCGCGGCTCCATGTAAGCATAGCGTGCTGTTTTATAGCCTATAGCACTCAGGAACATTGTAGCTATCTACCAGTAAAAGAGTTTAGGCAATCTGACCAGCGGGAGCGGTTCCAAAGAGGGTTACCCCTACACACAAACTTACAAACTTCAAATTTTACCTCTTTATAATATTAGTATAGAAAACAGTACATATAGATAGAATACTTACTTAAAATGTAATTTTAGTATAAATATCAACGTCGCGTCATTCCAGATGATACTGATGGTGGCTACATATCTGGTATCGATCAGTGTATTTATAAAATGTCATCTAATTTTAGACGTTTCTAACTGAATGTGAACGAATGACATTATACTGCGTTCTCCACACACATACGTGAAAACAATGATAGATTTCTAGACTCTATACAAAGATTACTGCATTGTTTATAAGTAACCGTGAGAAGAAAATAATTGCACGATGCGTCATAGGTTTACTATTTGTTTAGTTACTGATTCGTCTCATACTTGGTTATCGCATTATTAGTTTCGAACAAAAGATCGTAAATTTTAATTCATGATCCCATTCAAAGCATGGGTATAAACGTGATATAAATACTTAACAGGAAAAATTATAAAATAAACTCGTTGAAAATAGGTACCTACATATTTATAAGTGTATGTGTTTATAATAACAAAACAACAACACTATGTGTGTGAGGCTACTACAGGACGCATCTTTCTTCCTCTATTCACAATCCCCGAATCCCCAATTCTCGATATCCTTCAATAAGCCACGTTTATACCCGAAGACGCACTCGTAACTCCTCTGATTTTACGGATAACCATGGACGACACGGATCGTTACCGATAAATTAATTAAAAATGATATTTAAATTATTTAAAAACTGTTATTTATATAATGTATATGATATGAAGTATTACTGCCATTATGTAAATAAGTTTCATGATTACTGCTATGTTTTTGCAACTCAGTTCTGAAATATTTGTGAGAATTTGCTTAGGTATCTATATACATACTTATCAGTAGCCAAGGGATCGCAACCACTTCAAATCATAGCTACATTACCTAGTAGTCGAAGACTAAAATCCTTTAGGAATCTTTATCTCGAACTTAGGTCACTTGTCTTTTTTTTTGAGGCGGATTACCATCCAATGGCTTCTGTGTCAGAATCGACAGTTCTGTAGTTAGTATAACCTCCTCAACAATCTCTGTTTCATCCAATTAGTTATACCTACGCAAACGTCAATGAACTAATTACCAAACTTGAAGTTATCTAACTAATTAAACCACGCTGTATTTTTATGAAAACAATCTTTTATCTAATCTCCTTATATTAATGTTCTAATCACGCACCACCAGCGATGAAATGAACAAATATTATATTTAGGACTAAGGCCTAGTGACGTCATTTTCGTATTTTGTCAGATTACTTACAAATTATATTTGTTTTCTGATAATTGGTTTACATGAAGCTGAATTTCTAGTAGGTAATATTTTAAATAATGATTAGAATGTTTAATAAATTACGTATGCAAGAGTCAAGACAATTTCTTTATGAATACAAAATTGTATACAATTATTCTCCAACCAATGTAAGTACCTACTTAATTTCCAATTTCTCTTTGTACCTATTCGATCTTCGAAGCGAGTCAACGTTACATTGAACTTTCACAAAATCGAGTGCAATAAGATAAAGTGTACGCACTTACCGATGCAAACTTTAAACCTGGATGAAAACAGGTTCTCTTGTTGTGCATAAACTTTCATTGCACTTATCCTCAGCTATATTACCTACATTACTCGTAGAAACTTAACAAGTACTTCTTTGTTATTGCTGAACAGTTAAAATATTGCTAAACAAACAACGAAATAAGAAAAGACCGCCCAAGTTTTGAAAAATCTTACTGGTTTATTGCAAGTAAAAAAAAAAAAGAATCAGTCCTTGTGGCCAGTATTTTATATTTAACCTTTTTCTAATAGCAAATTCTCTTTACAGATGCTGATAAAATGTTCGATCGGTAACTTCCTAGAATTCCAAATGAACAAAACGGATAAGCCGGACCTTACCCAGTTCACCATGGAGAAATACGAAGCCATCACTAAGTACAAGACTTCCTACCATACCTTCCAAATGCCAGTCACTTTGGCTCTGCTCATGACCGGAGTAGAGGACCCTGAAACACATAGACAAGCGAAAACAATACTGCTAGAGATGGGCGAATTTTTCCAAATTCAAGTGAGTTCCATCATTTGCATTCAACATGCTTTTAGTACTTGAATAACGTCAAGTCGTTAATTGACTGTTACGCACAAAAGATTGTGTGTATAAACGTAAACGTGGGTTTTTTCAAAACAAATAACGGTATCTGTAATGCACTAAATCTAGTTCAAATAATAAGAAAGTCTCACGATAGCAATTTATCTTGATAATGTCAAAATTGCAGATTTCTGTTATCTTTCCTTAATTAAACAAAGCTGTTGGTAAGATAAAAAAAATACGGTTGGCTAATAGCAACATTTTCTTTTCAGGATGACTTCTTAGATTGCTTCGGCGATCCAGCTGTCACAGGCAAGAACGGAACTGACATCCAAGATGGCAAATGTACCTGGTTAGCAGTGGTCGCTTTGCAGAGGGCGACACCAAAACAGAGGCAATTTATGGAAGAGAACTACGGCAGCTCCGACCCAGAAGCAGTTGCAAAGATCAAGCAATTGTATGAGGAGCTCCAACTTCCCCACACCTACTCAGTCTTCGAAGAAGCTACCTACGATCTCCTTAGGACACAAATCCAACAAGTCACTAGGGGCTTGCCCCACGAACTATTCTTTAAAATCTTAGATAACATCTTCAGGCGAAGCGTTTAGACTGTGTAGCTATAAATAAATATATCGGTTAAGTTAGTGACTTAGAAAGGTGCAGAAACCTAGTAGATGTATATTTGTAAAAGGTATACTGAAGTCCTCGATAAAATTGACGCGCCGAATGAAGAAATAAAGATGTCTGGAGTGCCGTCATTTTATGCATGAGCGCTGGGTGTGAATGCACTGTATTTAGATTTTTTATTAAAAGCTGTGAGTCGAAATTTGTCTATGCTAAGGCCCCACAAATCTGTGGTCGGATGAAGAAAGACCATCGGGAGAATAGGAGGATAATAGTTGATTAGGAATCACGAGTTTGTAACCCGTAAACTTAAATAATAGTAATGTTTTTTATCTTAGATTTAGTATGCTACAAATTAATACGATTAGCACTAAACTATCTACAGCTTAGTAGTTATGTTAATAGCTGTTAAACTTAAAATTGATGCTTTGATTCACTTTTTCTACGTCTTGTTTACGCCTATAATTACTGTTAAATAATAATATTTGTAACTGAACACCTAATTAAGCATGTATTTCTCTCGATGATGATATTAAAATGTTGAATGAAATCTGAAGAACTTTTATTTTACCCTGATTTTGTAACATTAATTATTAAGCTCTTTACATAATAAATATGTTAATACAGTGGAATTAAATTGAGACCGCAATGCCTACCAATGCCAAGATGCAAAGATGATGAAGTATGAACAAATAATGCAATACGCTACCTTGGGGGACGCCGTATGATACCTCTGCATCTGCACTGGCATACTGACCCACTCTAACCCTCTGTTTCCTGTTCGAGAGATAATCTTTTAGCAGATTGAGAGGTGTTCCACGTATTCCTATACGTTCAAGTTTGTCTACAAGGATTGGGACAGAAACAGTGTCAAAAGCTTTTTTTAGAGCAATAAAAGCTGTTAAACATTTTTTGCCACTGTCAATGTGTTCGGTTACTAACGTGCTTAGTGCAGTGACTGCATCCTCGGTGGAGACACCTTGACGGAAGCCGTATTGTGAATCTGATAATATATTAAACTCTTTCAGGAATTTTAGTAGTCTAATATAAAAAACGAATTGTAAAGCAAAATAATCATTATTTTCAAACTTAATGACGATAATCTAGGCACACGCATGAAGCGGTTCGCCTCCAGTTTTATCATCAGAACCGCTCATATTATTTGCCGGAGTCTGTTCCCCGAAGGGAGACTGGGTGTCTTCAAGACCCGAGTGCAGCTTGCTTACGTGTGCCATCGAAGATCGCATCATCGCTTACGATTAAAGGATTTGTCCATGAGCGGAGCGGTTTGCTAAATGTTTGCTCATTTGTCCTACGACCTTTCTGATGGTAAGCCGGTAATGGAGCCTAACTAAGCATGCCTAAGTAGCAAAGGTAACATACCTACATACACACCAACACCCGAAGTTACTTATATTGTGACTAAGTATTTTGTAATTCATATAGGCAGTAAAGTTAGAAGTAAAAATTTTAATTCACCTATATTGTGTAGGTATCTATCCAACAAAATATTTGCATGCTATGTAATGGCTAAACATGCTGAACTTTAATAATTAATTTTCTTATCCCACCATGTATTAATGCAAATAAAGATTATTATTATTATGTACACTTTATCTAGAAAGGAACTTCGTACGCTACGCAGGTAGTAAAGAAACTGTTAGGTACGGAAAAGAAAATGATAAAAACTACTTACAACCCACAACGAATTGAATGAATGTTTGTATTCGACGTCGTAAGTAGTTGGATTTTCCGCTAACAATATGAAAGTTAATAAGCATAAGCAGACTCATTTCATTACATCCGGAAATTTCTTTTCATTATCGCTTAATCCGATACAAGTTCAATGCAATTGTTAGATATATTTTTAGCTGTTATATTTATATCATACTATAGATAGGCACTAATGATAATCCGTAGATTACCTAATTAAAATAATCATTAATTAAATAAGGAGTAATTATAAAGTACCTACCTTATTTTACTTTGTCCATAGAAAATTGATGGAATGTATCGCACCGTTCAAAGTTAATCTCAATCTAAAACCTTTAGATTTTGATTGATTATTTCCAATAATCCTATACCTACCTACTAATATTATAAACGCGACTAATATTATAAATGTCGTGGTGGCCCGGAGGCCGGAGGTTAAGGCGCCCGCTTCTCATGCATGAGGGTGCGGGTTCGAAACCTGGCAAGTACCAATGTGACATTTTCCGAGTTATATGTACTTTCTATGATTATTTAGACACTACTGACATACGGTGAAGGTAAACATCGTGAGGAAACCTGGACTTATAATTTCTAATTATAAGTTTGAAATCGCCAACCCGCATTGAGCAAGCGTGGTGATTAATGCTCTAACCTTCTCCGTGTGAGAAGAGGCCTTTGCTCAGCAGTGGGCACTTATAGACTGATGATGATGATGATTATAAACGCGAGAATTTGTAAGAAATGGAGTGATAGATAATTTCTACTATGCCACGTAAAAACTGCTGTCCGGATCTGAATAAAATTTGGCGTAAGTAGAGGTAGATTATAGTCTACAATAATATGTAGGTAGAGGTACTTATATGGGCTACTTTTCAAGCTACTGGCATGTCCAAAGCTATATAGTAAAAAATAAGTAATTTCTGATCAAAATTAGATGCGATCTGAAGATTTAAGATCTAAAATCGGTTGGTATTTTCAGCAGTTAGGTACTTACATGTTTACCTAGTGACCTAGACAGGCAACATTCTAAACATCAAGTCCATGGCGTGTTATTTAAACGCTTGGAATACCTTTTCTAAATTCTAGACAGTAAAAAGAGAAGAATAGGTACACTTTGTTTTTATTTAAATCTTTTTGAATTTTTTCTCGGCTATATTACCTACGTCCCAAAAGACGTAAAAATGTACGAACAATGTTTTACTCAATATTTTTACGACGAACATTTTTTTTTTACTAATTTTCATTTAATAAGTTTTAAATAATTCTCATATAAATAATTTAGAATTTTTCTCAGTCAAAAATAACTTATTTCGACTTAGATATTATATTATTAAAATACTAAAAAATACACATCCTTATTTATCTATTAAATTTACGATATAAATACTTGCTTAGTATTCATAATTTTTTTAGATAATTCATGAGTATTAAGTATGCTATTTGACTTCAAAAAACTGACTTTTTTAAGTCAAATAGCATAGAATGAATTTTCTATAAGAAAACTCATTATATCTAGCTATAGTTTTTGGCATTACAGAAAAAGTATTTAATAATTAGACTAGTTAAAAACTTCCCTTTTATGAATCGATCCTATAACCATGCAACATCTACCAATTCAAATTCTTTAGGCTAAAGCTTTAGGTATTGCGAACTAGCTATATAAACAACATTCATAAGTACTTAGAACTTAGTTACCTGTTTATGTATTGCAATTATACAATATTTTAGATTTGATAACAACATAAGTACATGATTTAAAATTGAAACACCCTACTCCTACCTACTCTACCTACCTACCTTACCTACCTTACCTACCTACCCTACTCTTTTTTACAACCTGCGGTAATAGAAGTCGGCCTGGCCGTCTCAACTACCTATCACACGTAAGACCATCAAAGTAAGTAGTCTCCATATATTGATGCATTTTGTCGATTTTTTTATAAAAACGTTGCTTAGCACATACATGTATGTTCTCCTGTGTCCTGAGCACGGAGTAAGAACAAAGAACAAAAACTTTGTTCTTACTCCGTGGTCCTGAGCGCGTTAACAAACATACGAATTCACACATACACAAGCCACTCACGCCATAGCCGGGCCTGGCGGGTTAAGCGCAATTAGGTGACTCTGCTTAGAGCAGGAGAAGGGATACAATGGGTTTTAGTCAGTAAGAGTGACACTCCCTTTTGCCATACCCTGGGCAAAAGAAGTCATTTGATGATATGCCTGAAAAAAATTGCCACTTAGGCCCGAAAGAACTATTTGTGGAGCACACCAAGTGTTTTTCAGTGCCGGCATCGAACCCACGACAAGTTGCATTACAGGCAGTTACCCAGCCACTGCGTGAACCGTGCAGTCATTCACTCACAGCTCATCAATTATGATTCAACTACAAATGCATAAAAACATTCTAAAAATATATATTTAAGCTTAGTTTTTTTATTATAATTTACAACGACTGTAATAATTTACAACAGTTCAACTGGATGCGACACGAAATGAATAACGTAGGTACCTACACACATTCTTATGCAAAAAAGTATATTACAATAAGAAAAGAACTTTTATTTTACTTCAGTCTTTTCCGAACAACAATACTGGAAGCAATCAGATAAAATGTTACATCCGCCTATTATAAAATGGTCTGGTTGACATTTCAAATTATTCCTGTGACGATCCCCGTTGAGTTTAGTTGTGAAACACGTGATGAATATTACTAGAACAATGGTCGCTTCCAGCCTGATGATGAAGAGCATCGGTTCAGTGGTTACCAAAACTTGGGTTGAAAGGTATGATTTTAAAATCCTTATGTATCTTTTATGATTGAATATCTTCCTAAAAACTCGTATCTATATAAGAAAAACTAATTTTTTATGTGATATGTAGGCAAACGTGCAGACGAATTACCTGATCGTAAGCAATCAGCGCCGCCCAGTGACACTCGTGGTACCAAAGGAGTTACTACAAGTGCGTTGCCAGCCTATTGTGGGTTATTAGGAATTTAGGGGATTTGAGGATTGAGGATGGGATGAGGGGGGAAGAATTGGACCTCCAGTAACCTCACTCACACGGCTTAACCTGTACCTGCCACTTTCGTCTTAGCTAGCAAAAATTTTCACATCGTGTCACGTTAGAGCAACAACGTCCCAAGCACTTCCTGAAACATTTACTTTTATAAAAATGTTCTCTTAATTTCAGCACCATACAAAGGTTTTGTGGTACTACTGCTGCAAGCCCAAAAAAGTTTGATTTAAAAGAAGAAAAAGCCGAGTTCCTCAACGCTCTTCCAGGTGTCATTGATCAATTTGCGAAACATGTGAAGTTTCAGGAAATACCCGGAACCGAAAAATGGGTGAGAAATGTGAGTATAGATTTTTTGTACCTTTTTTATAGAGATGTAATTACATGAGATACCTGTAGGTACCTTAGTTAGGGTAAGTTCACTCGCGCATTGTTTCCGACTGATTTTCTGAAGTCATGGGGACCGAGTCATACCGAAGAATAGCTCTCCAACATCAGACTGTAATTCCACGAATATTTTTAAAAAGTTTAGGCTATTTTCCATATAGTTACAATTAGGTACTTCTTATAACTCCCGTGGTGCCAACGACACGGATGCTTTGCATTACCATAGCAATGGAATGACGAAATAATTATGCTTATCAATGTAACTGACTTCGATCTTGTTATTATATATTAGGTATAATAACAAGATCATTAGGGCAATGAATACTCCAAACAGACACACCCCATTAGCAAAAGAATATAGATCCTACCCATATATGTTACTAACGAAAATATCTAGGAATCCTTTTGTAATAAAGTGATAATTTAACATTTTTTGTAAACAGAACAATTAGCGCTTGACACACCCGCGCAATTTATTATATAAGAGATATTTTGTATATCACGAATTTCAAATTTGTTACTAAGTATCTAATTAAGTATGTGATTTGCAAATATTATATATGTTTTGTTAAAATATTTGATGTTTTTCACTTTTGCCTAATTGGGTAGTGGTCACGGTCAAAAAGAAATTAAGTATTACAACTTAGAAAACCATAAAAATACTTAAAACTAAACACACATTCATATCTAAGTAACTTTTACGATATAATATATGTACCTACCTAAAATTCGTATATTTTAGATAATTCAAGAGAAATGTTAATTGATGTAAAAAAAAATTAAAAAAATGTCGTTTGTGACATTACGGAAAAAGTATTGAATTTGGTTTGTTGGAAACTACTCTATAATAACTGGGTTATTACCCTACCTACCATAACCTGAACGAAACACATATATGATATATGATGATGGTCAGAAATTAATTATGTTTTAATTCTTCACCACTCTTTATTTTCTCGCCTGCCTTGAAGAAAGTGGATATATCATAATATATATAATCTTAAATATCATTAACACACTTCGTTTTCAGGTTTTAAATGGCAATTTAATAGGCGGTAAGAACATGAGAGGACTCACAACGGTAATGACATACAAGTTCATAGAGAAACCAGAAAAAATCACAGAAGAAACATTGCGACTAGTAAGAACATTGGGATGGTGTGCTGAAATTGTAAGTCTTTAGGTACCTAACTGGTTTTAAAGTCCTGGCAAGACACACTAGCATAACTTAGCTCCACGTTTTGTTGCCCAAAGGGTTAAGTTCATCCACCAACCACCATCGAAATCGTTTACTGCGGCCAATATGAGAGTAAACGGAATGGTTTTTAGTCAGTAGGTTTGAGTACCTATAAATAAGTGTGTCCGACACTGCCTCTCGGCCCTCGTAGGGCAGAAGAGATTCGGTGACTTGACTTTGCTTCTTTTATGTAAACAATAGATACTGTATTCACCAATTATTTTTGCAGCTGTTTTAGGACTGCATGATGATATGCAGGTAGTTCTAGATAGACCGCATCTTTTAAAACAATTCAAACAATTAGCCAGCTTCCCAAAAAGTACCTACTTAAATTATAATACCTATTACCCACCTACCTATCCAACGCTCTATATCACTTTTTACGTAGGCACTTTTCTTTCCAATTAAACAGTGTACTAATATGAAGCAACTGCTGTACTCAATTTATTATTTACACAGCTACAAGCATACTGCCTCGTGTTGGACGACATAGCTGATGGATCTATTACTCGACGAGGCATGCCCTGTTGGTATCGAAGGGAGGATGTCGGCATCGCTCATGCAGTCAACGATGCCACACTAATCCACTTCAGCCTGCTCCAGTTACTACGAGTCAATTTTGAGAAGTTCCCTTACTATAACGACCTCTACCATAATTTCAACGAGGTGAGTATTAGATTTAAGAATTTTTTTAATGTTACTGTTGTTGCTATTTTGCAAGGGTTATGTTTAAGTCAAAGACCAGCCAGCCAGCGAAATATTTAGGTTAGCTATTGTACCTCGTAAAGTAGTCGCAAGCTTCCCTTCGAGCTTCAAGGAATCCCTGAATATCACGTATAAAAGGCATGACAATTTCAATATAAGAATTCCTAGTTGTTCACTTATTCTAATTCTAATAATGTATTTGATACTGACAGTTTACTTTACTGTCTAACCACTTCTGCAGTATCTATAATTTAGTCTCATATTTCAGACGCTCTTTTACACATGCCTTGGACAATATCTGGACATCATGACAGGAATGAAAAAGAAGAACTACGATCTGTTCACAATGGATCAGTACGATGCTATAGTTAAACACAAATCTGCTTATTACACATACAAACTTCCCATAACAGCTGGACTAATGCTAGCTAACCAGTTCAACGAGGAAACTCACAAGGATGCTGATGAAATATCAATGCAGTTAGGAAGACTTTTTCAAATGCAGGACGACTACATTGATTGTTTTGGAGACGAAAACATGACCGGGAAGATGGGAACTGATATTCAGGAAGGCAAATGTTCGTGGTTAGCTGTAAAAGCGTTACAGCATTGCAAACCCAACCAGCGCGCCGTTTTCTCTGTGTGTTATGGCAGCCATGAACCAGCGCATGTAGAGCGTGTTAAGCAGCTTTACGTTCAGCTAAAGATTCCTCAACTGTATAAAGAAGAAGAAAATCAAATTTATAACAACATCATCAAGAGAATTGAATCTGTGTCTTCAAACGATCACCAAAAATTATTTCTCAAAGTTTTACATGATACTTATGGCCGAAAACATTAACTTTTATTTTGAATGCATGTTTAACTGAAACAATTGGACCCATGTCGACGTTTTTAAATTAATTAAACCTGATTGAAACCATATTTTTCTCATTAATTATTTTATTTATATTAGTAAACGCAAAAGACTATGAGCTTAACATACATTAAAAAATATGCTGCAGTTGTCTAAACCATCTGTCACTAAAGTCACTGTCAGCAGAGGTGACAGCTGACGGCAGAGATGAACACGCAACGCATTTGACATTCCTAAAATTGTTAGTATGTCAGTGTCAAAATCTCGCTAAGTTTGGAGGACGTAGCGGCCGTCAGAGAGTTTTATAAATAATGTGTGCGGTTATTTTAGTTTCATTTTAATAAATAAGCCTTTTGAAACGATATAATAACACAAACATTATATGAATTTATGTGAATATTCTAGTTGCGCTGTACTGTGTAACAAGACATATTTGGCGGGTTGATTTTCCTCGGAATTCGGTCAGAGAAAGTGGGCACGTAGAAATTATTTACTTAAAAGATGAATAACATAAAATTCCTACGTTTATTGAGTAGAACAAGGTCGGTATGGGCTGGCTACGACAAACATCCGTGGTAAGTAAATCAAAGTTTAATAAGTAAAACTGTAAACTTTGAAATTCTTCTTTTACCTATACGAGACATTATGGTCAATGAGCAGTCAAAATCTTCGTACTAACGGTAAAAGCTAAAAGTTATTAATTAAACTACTGTATGTACAGAGGGAAATGTTTATTATTTCCAAAACACAAGTTCTGTGAACCTCTATCAAAGTTTTATCATATCACTCAAGTGGTTGGGCATCAGGAGTATACACAAAATTAGATAACTATCACCTAAGCTAAATGAAAGCACTTTGTACAACATTGATCATTTGTTCTTTATCATCAATAATTAAATGGTTGTTCACTAAAAATGGCACAGTGACATTTTTTTGGAATTTATTATTTATTATAATATATTAAGATATAAAAATATATATAGGTATTGAAAAATCTTAAAAAACTTTGACCTAAAATCTGAAAGGCCTGCTACAATGGGCATTTCTTTTTTCTTAATTACTGTATCAAGCCAGACATGAAAAAACAATACATTCACATTTATTTCTTATGTCTGCAATAATTGATGTTTAATTAGTTTAGAGAAAGTTTTGTCAAGTGACACTAATACATAACTATTAATATACAGACTAGAGAGGTCAGTAATTATGGGCAACTACCCGTAATAGGATTAAAAAGTTAAAAATAAAAAAATTTCATGACCCACTTAAATGGGCCTGCAATTATGCAATGTCATAAGTCTTTATATATATTTATAGTATGTATGAATTTTTTTTTTCAGTTTCTTGCAACTGTCGGCAACGAGAACCATGCAAACAAGTGTGTCCATATCTCAAATTATGAAGGAGAAGGAGGTGTTCCATGATGTTCTGCCTGGCATCATACAGAACCTGCAAGCCAGCTCCAAAATTTCTCAACAGCCTGAAGTTGCGGCTTGGGTTAAACAGGTATGTGTTGCTTTGTATTTTAAAACTAGCTCATCTCGTGTTTTCACAAGGTGCTCGGCTCCATTTGATCGTAGCGTGATGTTTATAGCCTATATCACTCAGGAAAATTGTAGCTATCTATCAGTGACGAATTTTGGCAATTCGACCAGCGGTTCCAAAGATTACCTCCTACACACAAACATACAGATTTCCCCTCTTCATAATAATATATTATATTATAAAATTAAAAAATATTTATAATAATTTTAAATAAGAACATATTTAGTAACCATATTATGTATCCCGGTGTAATATTTACAGCATAAATTAAAACAAACATCCAACATATTTTATTTGTGTACTTACTTCTTCACACTGTTACATTTTGTTACTGCAATTGCAATTTACTAATTAGGTAAGAAGAGGGACTACTGAGTACATTTTAAGGAGTTGAGTTGTCAGCAAAAAATAGTTTCGTTCCTTGAAAATATTTTTATAGTAATGACATGTATACCTTATTTTTTCTGTCAAGTGAAGTTAAAAAGAACAAGTTAGTTTTGGCCTTGTGCACTCTTCATAATGAACCTACATGAGTGATTACTACCTACAGCAAAAAAGGTCAAGTACCGTTCTTATGAGTAACCCTATTATAATTTTCACTGATGTCTTGAATCTTGAATTATTTGTCGCAATTAAGAATGCTGGAAAAGCTACAAGTATTTTGAAGTTTAGAGCAACAATGCTTTACCACGAATGGGCAAGCTTAATCGAAGGATTACCAGTACAAATAACGGGCGTAAAACAACACTACCGTAATGTTGGAATATAATTGAATGTCAAACCATAGACATACGAGAAATAGATTTTTGAAATAAGAACAGATGCTACCTCTTCTCTTTGTTTTTTTCTCCTTCAACGTATTGTTCGCGACAATCTCATATTTTTTAAAACTTGACTGGTTTGACAACATATCTTTAGTAAACCAGGATATTCCATGTTTATTGTTTGCTTTGTGTTTCCAACATTTCAAGACTGGCAAGTATCGAAATGTCGGAAACTAAAGACAAACATTAAACATGGTATATCCTGGGTTTATTACCGAAGTTACGTTAATGACCACTCTAGTTTACACGTTAACATGATTGTCCACACTGCAAATATCTTGACTTACATTTGACTTTATTCACTAATAGCTACTCTGACGCGGTTTCACCCGCTGCTCGGCTCCATTGAATCCTAGCGTCATGTTTTATAGCCTATTGCACTGAGGAACATTGTAGGTAAGAATTTTGGCAATCCGATCAGCGGTTGCAAAGTTTCTTTATTATATTAGAATAGATTATCGTTTTTTGTGAGGGTAAAATCATTAAATGACTTCTACCGCCCAGGGCCAGGCGGGAGGATAGTGTCAGACTCTTACTGAATAAAAAACCCCCTGTTCCTTCTCCTGCTCTAGGCCGAGGTCGCGGTGCCTTCATGCGCTTACCCCGCAACCATAGATTATCGTTTGCAGTTAGCATTCAGTCACAAGAATGCATAGAGCAAGTACGTTAAAATGATCGACACAATTATGACGTTCGGTGCTCTGATTGGTCGACTCCTAGTTAATCAACCAATCAGAAGAATAAACACGGTAGTTTCGATCGCATCAACGTAAAACCAATTCGACTAGGCACTCTGCACAAATAGACTTTTGCGGAAACATGGCGGTAGTAAAACCTACTACTTGGATGGCTATTTGTTCTTCTTTCACTTTAATACTACTGAACGGATCAGAATTAAGTTTGACATAGAGATAGATTCTAGTCTAGAATAACACATAGGCTACTTTTTATACGCAAAAACGAAACCATGAGAGTAATATTTAGTAGATATTCATTTATTTTGTTTTATAGATATAGAAATCTAATCTTCGTAGTTTACATTTCTTAAAAGAAATTAGTTTCCATTTAAATGCATTCTTATCTTTTTTAAATCATAAAATATGTGTATCTCTATAAAGAATACCTAATCAGTAGTGCGTGTAATTCTCTTTCAAGGTTCTAAGCATAATTATGTAAAACCTATGTGAAGTAGGTATCTACTTAATTAGGCTCCAATGCTAAAGGCACTGTTATAAGTCCCAACCTTTAGGCCTTGATTTTGTAAACGGGCGACAATGAACTTTACGGTACTTAGGTTAAGTGCTATATGCAACGTACTTATACAATTTTTGAAACGTCGAGCAAAGGGAAACTTAAAAAGCAACTCTCGTATATGGGTCGTATGGGAGAGCCAAGCTAAGTGTGTGTGGGGGAGCCAAGCTTCGTCATGAATGTGATACCACGGCCTCACAGAAAACCGCTGTGAAACACGACAGCGTTGTGCTTCGCCATGTGATTGAGGTTATCGGAGCCCAATCCCTCCCCTCGTCGCATCCCATCTCAATCTTTAAATATAAGAATCCCCAAAAGCGTAGCAACGCACTTGTAACTCCTTTGTTTTTGCGAGTGTCCATGGCGTCACCGATCTCTTACCATCACGCAACCCGCCTGCTCGATTGCCGACATAATCTGATAGTCTCTTATTTTAAAAACGTTGCCCCACGCCACGCGTACCCACGCTTTTCTCCTGTGTTGTGGGTGCGGTTACAAACATATAATTTTACATACACAAGCTACACAAACAAATAATTATTCCGTGCGGAAATCGAATCCGCGACACGTCGCATGGCAGTCAGTTGCCCAGCCTCCGCACCAACCGTGCAGTCAAAGCTACTGATAGTCTAAACTGATCAATCAATTTAAAGACGCGGGCTCGCAGTCTTTCAGGAGGATCGAATTCCAAAAAAACCGGCCAAGTGCGAGTCGGGCTCGCGCACAAAGGGTTCCGTAGCAGCAAATATAATAAACTTTAACCAAAATTACAGTTAAATCAACCTATCTCAAAAACTATAAGAGATACTTTGATCAAACCAAAAATCGTTGAAAGAGTTAATTAGCATGTATCACCTCTATTTTTTTTAGAACTTTATACCCCGTAGTTATAAAAATAGAGGGGGGGGGACATACTTTTTACGACTTTGAGAGCTGATATCTCAAAAACCGTTCACTTTAAGAAAAATGTTTTTTAGAAAACTTTATATCATTTTAAAAGACCTTTCCATTGATACCCCACACGGGTATGTACATCGAAAAAAAAAATTTCATCCCTCAGTTACATGTATGGGGGGCCCCACCCCCAATTCTTTTTTTTACTATTTAGTGTCATAATTTTGTAGCGGTTCATACAACACATATTCCCATCAAATTTCATCACTGTAGTACTTATAGTTTCCGAGTAAATCGGCTGTGACAGACGGACAGACGGACAGACGGACATGACGAAACTATAAGGGTTCCGTTTTTGCCATTTTGGCTACGGAACCCTAAAAAGGGCATCCGACAGAGAACTAAAATTATAGGCATATCCCAAAAGATGTGCAAACCGAGGTAGCGGAAGGATCACATCTGTCCAAGGATCCATGACTGTTTTGGGCAGACGTGTACTACGAGTACGAGTGAAGACAGCGTCTAAGGCAGACTTGGTATACGGTGTCATTCAGCTAGAATGAGTGTCGAGCTGAAATAGAGCTTAGTGGCGTGCAATAAGAGGTGCCTAGGTATGTGTCCAGCAGTGACGATCGATTATAATAATGAGATCTCTTAAGATTGCGATCTGAAGGATGAGGAGCATACTTTACACTTCCTGTCATTTAACTCCATCCTTAAACAAAAGAGTGTGGCTTTATCTAAAACCTCTGTTAACTAGTAATTTTCCTTCATACTCGTATTTGATCGAATTCCGACTGACGTCGATTTTTTTTTAATATTCCAGGTACTAGAACACAATTTATCTGGCGGCAAGCATTCAAGAGGATTGATAACTATGTTATCATACGAAATGCTGGAGAAACCAGAAAACATCACCGATGAAAAACTCAAGCTGTCCAGAGTGCTCGGATGGTGTGTCGAAATGGTAATTATGATTATTCATTTGTTCAACCATTCTCGTAATGTAGCGTTTATAATTTCATGTAAACAGTTACCATTTACACCATAGACAAGTTATGAGAATGTAAAAGGAAGAAGGTTCAACATCTACTTTCATTTTTGTTTTAAACTGTTTCCCTGTCTTTAACATAACCGGCCTGTAACAATATTTGTGTTGAGTTCTGCTGTGTGAGTATGGTTATCAAAGGCCCAAAATATCCCCCTTCCATCTTTAATCCCCAAAACCCTAACTTCAAAAGGTGGGCAACGTTCTTGTAACTCCTCGAAGTTGAGATTGTTCTGGTGTGCGTGGACGGCGCTGATTGCTTACCAATCAGATGATCTGTTAGTTGGTTTATCGACCTATTATAAATTTAAAACATACTTCAAACCCTTCCAGATATTCCTATACCAACATTTTCATTTTTAAGTGAAAACAATATAAGCTTATGAAGTTTTGTATAAATGTTACAATCGTTCTATGATCTCGCTTTAATACTGTTTTAGTTTCCTTTTCTAAAGTATCGTTAAACATAACATCGAAATATAAACAAAATCTCGACTCAAGAATTTGATTGGAGCCAAAACCGACTATTAATATATCTTTAAAGTAGGTACATCGCACACGTGTTTTTAAAACTACGGCTGATATAATTAAATAAACACATTATTTACCTCTGAATTGTTTGTATAATTATAAACAAGTTCTTAAAATAAAGTGAATACCTATTTGCGAAATAGATGAAATCTTGCATTGCGGCTCGAAGCTGTGTGATAAATATAAACATAAACGACCTTCTCGCCAAGGATCGAGGATGAATTAATTTGCTCTACTGACTCACAAAGAACAGATTGTAGATTCTTTATTATTTTATTACCCGTAATCGTCTGCTGTAACTACCTCGCTAAGTTTCGTCCATACTTTTCTATTTCGCATTCAAAACGTTTTTAAAGCCAATAAGCATTTGTAAAAGTCATTTATAATATATTTGGCAGAAAATTAAAGATCAAAATGTAAGTTTGCAATATTATTACAGTTATGCTGAAGTTCATGTACTACAATGCGTTATCCACAATTCCGTATTTTAGCTGCATACACTGAAGTCATATCTCTGTACCTAAATAAAGTGCCTGGGTAATATTAAATTATAACGCAATATACATTCCATACTGCGTCCTTACTGGTATGCTTATTCATTTGCCTATACTACACTATTTTTCAAAATTATAAAAACAACAATTACAGTTTAAATTTCAATCTTATGTCTAACGCTCTAGAGCCTTTTAATAGTACTGATAACTTTGAATACATAATGTTCCATTCCTATCAAAACTTTTCCTACCTGACCTTTAAATGTCCCTAATACGAATCTTCTTGCTTCCCGAGGCAGTGCACATTAATCCAAAATTAGAATAGGTAACCAATTTACAAATGATACCGCGTACCCTTTACTTATATTCGATTGTCACTTAGTTTAAATGCAGTCTACGTGCTTTGCTTTAGAATACATTAACTTGCTAGTTCAGATAGTGTTGGGAATTAATGACTCAACTGACAAGGACTAAGACTAAATCTCTCTTCTGTTGTCTTTTTAGAGCAAATAATTAAAATATAGGCCTTAATCTGTGTTTATTTTAATTGTCAGATTTCAACTGGATAACTGTCCCAAAATATCCGTCAGTTGTCAAAGTAAAAGAAGATTTATTTAAGTTATTTTCATATATTCTCTAGAGACATATTTTCTTTCTTTTTGACGGGTTTTTTACGTCTCGAATCATGATAATTTGTTCTTTGGAAGTAGACAAATGTTAATACGTTCCTGTCATAATCTTCGTGATTTTTTGTTTCTTGCGTTATCTTATCCACTATTACTCTTTAAGTTACCTTTTATCTTAAAGCTATTATTAAAAATTCACAGCTTCAAGCGTACTTCATAGTAGCAGACGATATAATGGACGGGTCGACGACACGGCGCGGCATGCCATGTTGGTACCGGATGCCGAACGTCGGGCTCGGCGCCATCAACGACTCCATACTGATTTACTGCTCAATTATGGAAACATTGGACACCTACCTTGGAAAGACTCCCCATTTCGTCAACGTTGTTAAACTTTTCAATGAGGTAAGTGCTTCATAAAATATACATAATACTATTGAACCTGTGAGGTGCTGGATCGTACCTACCTACATATAAGGGATATGACAATAATGTATTTTTCTATTGTGTCCCATCTCAGGCAAGAAGTTAAACGCATGTTATGCATTCCCTAAGCTCTCAAATTCTTGTAGTTTACAATAATACCTAAGATTAGGGGCACCGCGTCCCCGGCTCGCAGTATGAGAAACGTGGTCAGTAGTATGTAAGAGTCTGACACACTTTCTCTCTCTCTCTCTCTCTGTCTCTCATCCCACCCAGAACGGAAGAGGTCATTAAATGATTTTCCTCACTCAAAAAAGGCAATAAATGATTATGAACCAACCATCTCGAAAGAAAAATCAAGGCAAAACGTAGCTTGTGTTCGATAAAGAATGTAAATCAACGGACATTTCCATATATATTATAAGAAGTAGGTAGGTATGAAAAAATTAGTATTGTTTACCTATTGTCTTATCGTTAAAGGCTCATTATTATGTGGGTCTAGTACATTAGTATTCTCATCTTATCTCTGTTTATGAACAATGATTTATAAGTGTAACGCTCACAGCACAAAAATGCATTAAATCAGCTATGACGTCAACATCACTCATTTAATTGGAATGCAAAAGAACAAATGAATGTGAATTTGCACTTTCTCGTAACGAAAGATTATCAGTCTTTACACTACAGTTCTATAAGAAGACGAAGTTATGTATGAATTATCGGATTACTAAGTCTTTACTTGAGCCACGCTTCGGTACGAAAAGATCTCGACCGGCGTTATACACGAGAAAACCGACGTAAAACAAAGCTTGTATTATTTCGCACTGTGACTGAGGTTACCGCTATCTTGAATTCCTTATTATTATAACCCCTTAAAAGGCCCGCAATAGCTCCTAATGGTGTTGTGGGTGTCCAGGGGCGACCCGGATTGCTTACTCAAGGGTTTTGTGCTGGATCAAGTAATCCGACTTGTCGTTTATTCAAAGGTCCAAGGACGGTAATGAAAGAATTCTTAACGTCCTTTGCTCAAATATAATTTAGTTTAGTTACATCTGTAGCTCTTTAAGCCACATGTGCAATTAAAACATTTCCGTATATTAAATAGTCAATAGATATCGTCATACCATCAGCTACAAAATATCCAAAGCTGAACATAGAGTTCCCATAACCCGTAAGTTAATGAATTTATCCTGATTTAAACAATGTATCTTCTAATTCCAGGCGTTAACATACACCTCAATAGGCCAGCATCTGGATTACACGACAGCGAACCACAAAAAAGACTACAGTCTTTTCACAGTAGACCGGTACGCGTCTATCGTGAAATACAAGACTAGCTGCTACACATTCCGGCTGCCGATACTGTTGGGGCTGTCTCTAGTCCAAAATGTAGATCAAGCTATTTATCCGGATGTCAACGACATTTGTATGAAGCTTGGTCATCTGTTTCAAATGCAGGTAAGATGATTTTGTTTAATGTCAACTACTCTTGCCACATTAGATGATCATAATATATTTAGCGCGAATGGACCGGTTGGACCGGGTGATACCATAGCCCTACAAAATAGGGATGTGAAACAACGCTTCTGTTATATGTCGCCGTGTGAGTGAGGTTATAGGAAGCCCAATCCTTTCCTCCCCCAATTACTTATCATCAGGTAATCCGTTTGCTTGTTTGCTGACCTATCCCAGAAAAAACCACACTTACAGTTTTTACTAAGATCGATATGTAGTAAAAATCTAAGATTCCGCGTAAATATTCATAAAATGTTACATACTACTTTATTACTTGTTGCAATGTAAAAGCAACTCTACGAAAAACACTACGTTATACCATAACAAAAAATATTGCGCACATGCACAGATGTCGCCCTAACCTATCTACCTAAAACTATGATGAACTCCCTACCACAAAATAATATCTCATTCGATGATATTTTAAAATACTTTATATTTCTCCCAGGACGACTATATCGACTGTTATGGTGACGAATCAATAACAGGCAAGGCGGGGACAGACATACAAGAAGGTAAGTGCTCATGGTTGGCCGTTACAGCATTAAAGCACTGTAACGAAGCACAGAGGGCGCTGTTCGCTCAGTACTACGGCAGGAAGGAACCCGAACATGTAGCCATCATCAAGCGGCTATACGATGAACTTCGTCTCCCAGAAATATACCGCGAAGAAGAAACATTAGTACATGATAATATAATGAGCAAAGTACGCTCGTTGCCTTCAGAAACAGCCCCTGTATTCTTCTATAAACTTATAGATAGGATCTATAAAAGAAAACATTAATAAGGTTTTTAAATGGCAGTATAATTACTGTTACTAGTCTCTGCCTATAAAAAAGTTATCTTTGACAGCTGTCATGTTAAGCTGTCACGTGGTATAAAGTTATAGTGTCGTCACTCTCAATGTTATTCAGGTTATGACTGAATTTAATATTTTTAAATAAACTGTTAAGACAAACTTGATCTTTGATCTTTTTAATATTAAATAAAATTATTTATCTTCACGGAGATAAGAAGAAATGCTCTGAGCTCTGCGTACCAAATAGCGCCATTTCTTTTCTGCTTCTCTGCTGTGTTTTACCATGTTTATGCTCAATTTGTTTTAAATCATAATAAAGTATATCATAATATTACCGATCAAGTTTGCTTTGCACCAAAAACATTAATAACTTGTTTTATCTATAAGTTTGTATTTATGTGTAGAAGTTCCGTATTCCTAATTATAATTGTTTCGGGTAACATCATGACAATAATGTTATAAACCTATTTTATTTGTGTTTAAATAATTTAGTATTTTAAATTGCATCGTTGATTTATAAATAGACAATGCCTATTACTGGGCCAACCAGCCACAACTACTTTAGTAAATGGACGAAAGATGATCAATTGATATATGTAGTCACAGCTCTTTAGAGACACCCTGAACCCTGCATCGCCTTGTCGTACGATGTCCACTTGTTGGCGACAGGTAGTCCGGGAATGTACTTTATCACCAATAAACGTCTCGCGATCAACCGGTAGAACCCACAATGACATGATCAATCGCCGAGTGGTCAACAAGTGGAGTACGGTTAACGAATTTTCGAATGGTCTATTAATAATTTTATTGGCAATGCCTTGTTAACGCAACGCAAGCATTCGAACAACGAGTCTTCACCGAGTTGTCCACCCGCCTGTCGATGAAGGGCTTAAAACCGCAAAACCATGTAAAGAATACTAGCCGCAGGAGGCGAGTTGGTGATTAGTGGGTGCTGGATGACTCTTATGAGCTGTGACCTTATGTTAACCGAGTATTCCCCAATGGCGCTTACATAAAGAAGCAAGTCACCCATACGGGTAGATCGACCGGTACCAATTATTATTATGAAGACTGGAATGGAATTTTGAAGCATGTTTCGGCACTTGTAACTCCTTTTGGTATTACGAACAAGTAGGTATCAACCTCCTCCGTATTGGCAGCCTGTTTCTTAATGTAAGTACTATAGGCAACCAAAGCATCCTTCCATCCTTATAGTTATATACATTTTACCATAGATCACCATTATTATAATAATTTAGTTTTTTTGTTTACTTTAAAGGTGGTATAATTAGTTCTAAGTCACATAGCAAATTGAGTTGTGTACCTTATAATAATAGAGTTTAATTTCGTTAGTCGATTATTTATAGTCTATAGTTATTTTCCAGTCCGCAATATTTTGTATAAGTAAGCCAGAACATTACATATCTCTTTTTTTTTCAAAAGCGATCCCATTTTCGCATTATAGAAATAGGCATGGCAGCATGTTTTCGCCGTTAACAACTACCGAAGAATATAGTAAATTAATTTAAATGTAATTTCGGGTTTCACAGTCAGACCGGCGGGTCGGACTACGCATTTCAAGTCAAAACATCAAAATGTCCAATGTAATGTCCTCCCTTAGGACCCTCCCTCTTACACCTCCCTCTTACACCCACGATAAGATTAGGGATGTAAGGATTGAGACAAATGTCTGACTTCAGTCTGACTTCGAAATCGAGCTATTTGCTTAAATACTATTTCAGTACTGGCCAATAGTCACTTTATATCCACGTTTTACAGCAAAACAAAGGCCATATTACTTCTTCCTGAGAAGGCTTTCTAGTCCATTCTTTGTACCTCTAAAATTTTGGCTATTGTTTAATTATTATGTCCAAAATTAAAGTGAAAGTGTTGGAAGCATTGCTTAAAAGAAGAATTAATAACATATGCAAATAAGTTCGTTAGTTTCCCTGACTTCTGACTTAAAAATTTGTTGGAAAGCCGTGACGCGTCAACATTTCTAAATTCGACAGCAATATTTTTTAACGTCTACTGTGTAGTTAATGATAAGACCACATTTATTTTCACAGTTTAGTATCTAATAATAAAAACGTTAAAGAGATTATTTTAAAACACATTTTTAAAAGTGGCTTTCTCCGTCCTTATTCTTTCTTTTTTTCTTTTTAAAAAAACGTTGCCCCACATTAGGATTTTCTCCTGTGTCGTGGCTGGGTGCGGTTACAAACATACAATTTTACATACACATGACACCCAGACCCGGAACAACAATTTGTGGATTACACAAAGAGTTGTTCCGTGCGGAAATCGAACCCGCGACACGTCGCACGGCAGCCAGTTGCCCAGCCACCACACCAACCGTGCAGTCAAATATATCCCTATGTACCTATGCTTAAATCTTTAAAACTACGCAACGGGTTTTGTTGCGGTGTTTTTTTATTTAATAGAGTAGTAATTGATAAGAGAAAGGTTGTATGTATAAAAACATCAGTGGGGAAATTTAGTATCAGCTTGCACTCGTACGAAACTGGGGTGGGTTCCTAACTTCCTAGTATAACATAAAAAAAAGTCGTGGTTATGTTTACAAACACATTATTTAACGCACACATCTTACTTTTATTAAAAAACAATCGAAAATCACACAGAAAATTATTGATCCTTACACCCGGTTGTCAAGTTATCTGATTGGTTGTTGACAACAACCAATCAGATGACTTGACAAGAGATTTAACAGGAGATTACTTAATTTTAGCGTTGACAAACCTTTCAGAAACTGGGTGTTAATCCTTTATACAATTTGTCAATAGGTAAGTAGGTAATCATAACCAATGAATAAATAAACATAATTTATTTGAAGTAACATAACACATAATTTTATTACAAAACCAATTTCGATAATGTTCTTTACGTTCTACGACTATGACGCAAATAAAAATGAAAAATGATATTTTGGAAAAGTTTCTATGCCTACAGCAGTTCTTCCAAAACTTAATGTGCCAATATTTCATAGAAATAAAATTTTCGAAATCTTAACGTTTTTATGATTTTGAACCGTATCTCTATCAGTATACATAACGTTTTTAAATATTACAAACATGTTGAATTTTGCAATAACTCTGTTAAGATCAAAAATTAAATGATATTGTAAAATATTATTTGTGTGACAAAATATTAACTACCCACTACATGAAAGGAAGTAAGCTTTATGTGGGTCTTTAAAATTTTGTAAATATTTGTATGAAATAACATATACTTACACAGATAAAGAAAACATTCATGAAGCATGGTGCTTTAGTATTTAAGAAATTAAATAAGCTATATTTAAAAGTTTAAAAAAAGTAATGACGTTTGGTCTATCATTTAAAAAACGTATTGTTATGCATAGATAGATAATTTTTTTTTTATATCGAAGGCATAGACTAGAGTGCTAACTGCCTTCTTTAATTTCTTTTATAATAAATTTATGGATGCAATTACAGTAAAAAGCAATACTTTAATATAAAAAAATTATAATAATGATAAATTATCTCATTATGCTGTGACCGACATATTTTTTGTGATTATAACCTCGAATTATAATCTCGCATAGAATATTAATGAATTTACACGTTTTCAACTTTAAGGCTTGTAAAAAGGTTAAAGGGCTTTTCTCTTTTCAAAGTCATGTTGTGTTGTCATACAAAGTATTATTCTGTAATTCGACTGATTCAATAGTAATGATGACTATTTTGTTTATTTCAATCTAGTTGTTAAAACATTAGACACGTATTTATAATTTGTTTTGACGGAGTCAGCTTATTTCCACGACATTTGAAATATAGAGTGACGTCACGATTTAGTACGTCTTAAAAATTTTGTTCTTTATTTAAATGCGTGTCTAATAGGTACCTATTTTTTTTATCTCAATAATTGCATTTCGTGGTAGGTTTTACTGGCGTGATCCTATTGCTAATAATGCCACGAGTATATTTATTTACAATACTTTTATACAATAGTCAAATAAAATAATAATTTGTTTAAGAATCTTTAATGTTATTTTGGTTCTATTATAATATTGTTTTACCAGATTCTAGCTATAATAATATGTTACAATTGAATTTATAATTTTATGTTTGTATAAGGCCCTTGGTATCTTTATAGAGATGGCAGCTATCTACATATCATTACATGTTGTTTTCGCCATTTATGTCATCCTTTTAAATAAGCGGGCGTGTTTTATGAATAATTTTGTAATTATTAGTACCTACACAAAATAATTGTACAAAAGAAAAAATACTTTTTATTCCAATACTGGGCAAATTTTTATAATAACTGTCGTGAGACATACTAAATTAACTAAAAATCGCGGGTTACTCACGTGTAAATATTGAGAAAAGCTCTACTAGTTTCGAACCACAGAGGGGTTCTTCCTCATGAGCAGCGTGCGCGACGTCGCCGCGGCAAATTGCCAATGAGCCAGAGCATTTATGCTTTGATTAGACATTTATTACCAGCAACATTAATATTTCGCAAGGTATTCGTTTTTTTTAGAACAAGCCTTTATATGGCGTTCCTCTGTAAAGATATCAAGTGGAAAAATAAGTACATTATTTTATTAATTGCATGTAGACATTTAAATAATTTGATTGTAAGTACACGGGAATTATAAAAATAAAAAATGTTATTATCTTTTTTGTGTTATATTATTTATCCATCATACCTTTAAAGTAGGTAATTAATATGTATATGAGTAATGTATGTACAATATAAATGAACCTTCTAAGCTACAAGAATCTCAAGACGTTGATAGAATATGTAGGTAAGGGAAGTGGCGAAAATACATTAATAGTAGGTACCTACAGAAAAAAACGTGTGAAGCGCTATCGGTTTCTTCCCGGTTGGAAATTTTTGTCATTAACTCACACAAAAACACTTTCATCCCTGTCATATTGGTTGGCAGTTAACAACTGTGCGATTATCGGTAAACTTTCTGCCTCGTACGCCAAACTTCAGAGTATGTAATCTTTCCGGAAAGTATTTCGATACAACGTTCAAACCTTCAAGAAACGAACGCACCTGCTCCTTAAAAGGCCGGCTTTAAGTTAAGGCATGCTGTGACTCGGCTGTCCATGATCGCTTAACACTTTCATTAGGTACCACTACGATTTTCACAATGATATCTCGGATGCCGCCTACATTTCTCGAACATTTTAGGCCGCTATCCAACGGACGTTCATGCTTGTCACGCGACGAAGCGGCGTTAACGTCGCGTCAGCGCGGCGTCGACGTTGCGCAAATACAACGTTGACATCAAATGTGTTTTATGATTAAATGAAACGTGTTTGCCTCCTATTCCATAAAAAATCGGCATCTAGTTTCAGTTACAAAAACTTGAAGTCCAACGTACAATGGAAAATAAACACTTATGTAGGTAGGTATTCGTGCAATTTTCTTGGCTATTGGCGCTACCTACTTGTTCCAAAAGCTCATCCGATTAACCTTTTCACTTAGGGCTCTATTTCATTGAGCTCCCATGGCCTCTAAGATCAGTTTATCAATCGTGGCTTGATACAAATTAATAGTTACGACCACTAAGAGATGCGATCACCGGCAAGTTCTTTTGTGTTACCAACTTGAATTATGTTGGCGGTCAACTTGACATAAGGTAAAATCGCATTCATACAGCTTTACCTATATATTGATGGTTTCCAGAAGTGGTCGTAAAACTCTTAAGTTCTTAAAAAGGGGCCATTATAACTACTCAGCAGAAATGCTTGTAACAGCCATCTAAAATCTGTGTAAAGAACTGCGTCTCCTCTTTCGTCGGCAGATCTCGAATTCTTTGAACTAAATCTTCATACATAGAACGTTCATTTTGTTTATACAAATTTTTCAAATCTAAATCATCAAAAAGCTGCTTGATCCGCTTCACATCTTCAGGATTGCTGCTTCCATAGCTTTCTTTGAAGATGGAACGTTGTTCTTCAGTGCAGCGCTGCAGCGCTGTTAGAGAAAACCAGGTCAATTTACCTTCTTGAATATCCGTGCCTACTTTGCCTGTTTTGATATCGTCGACGAAGACATCTTTGTAATCATTCTAAAAAGAAGAAAAATATATTTTAGTTGAATAAAACGATTGTTTTGTATTATTGTATTGCAATTATTGCAACACTGGCAAAATATCTTATTACCTGTAAATGCAGAAGTCTGCCAATGTTCAAATCTACATTATAAGCTTCTTCTGAAAAAGTTATGCTTCTGTCCTTTACTAAAGCAAGAGCTAAGAGTATAGGAAATTTGAAAGAATAAACGGCAGGTTTTACAAGATCAAAAAATTCTATTTGATTTTTTATCAACTTGTCAAAGTCATTCTTCTCCTTTCTGTAGACGTATAAGCAGTCTAAATGCTGACCTATGCACATCTGGATTACTGTCTGAAAATAATAAAAGTTATAATGTAGATTGGGGTTCAATCTTAAATCATATATTATAATGATGAAAAGAATAACTAAGTACATAAATGTTCCTTACTTAAACCCCGAAGACTAGTCTAAGTGAAAAGACGCTTGCAACCATAAATAACTTACCTGATTGGTAATTTTGACCAAGTCGCTGTAGATTTGTTCATTTCCGAAATAGATTTCCAATAATTCAAAGGCACACGACAGCAGAAGCCCGCAGTCATTGACTGCCCCCAGCCCAACGCCGCTATGGATGTGCCAACACTCCTTGCCACGGCGAGTTTGTGACGAGTCCACGATATCATCTACTGTTAAGACGTACGATTCTATCTGTAATGCAATAAAATATAAACTGCTCGTAAGTATTCTTAAAACAAACGACTATTTTTATTTTTCTTCAACACTACAAGGCACTCCAGTCCCTGAACCCCCTCGATCTTTACGAGAGTATTAATAATCGTCTGTTCATGGCGTCGCGTTATTATCATCAGGTAATCAGTACCTAAGCTCGTTTGCCGTCGTACCACATTAAAAAATGCCAGTCTGGTTGAAAATGCCAATTTAAAAGTTTCGGGTTAGAGAGCGCTGCCAGCCGAGTCTACACAGCTATTATTCATAAAGTAGGTATCTTACTACACACATTTCTTACTATTCAGCTAATACTATTTTTACATTTAGGTTTTAATTTTTTTTGTGAGGGAGTGTCATACTCTTACTGACTAACCCCCTCTCTCCCCCGTTCCTTCTCCTGCTTTAGGCCGAGGCCGAGGTGACTTATTGCACTTGCTTCGCAACCCCGGCTAAACATCAGCCCTATAGGGCCCCGTCTGTGGTGGTCTATTGGCTCTTTGAGGCACATATGTTATACTCACTATTTCCACGACCCACCCCAAAATACGTGCTCTATGGAGATTTTCTTCTGTGAAGTGTTTTGGGTCTTCAATTATTTCATACGCAAAGGGTACCGCCAGGCCCCTGCTCCTTTTTCCTCCTTCTAATGTGTAATTTAGCAACTGTAAAAATACATATTAATTAGAGCTTTTTGCGTGAAAAACGAACATAATATCGACTGCTTTAAGTACAGGACCGACCTATAAATGACCTTAATTCGACAACGTATTCAACACGTTTTAAAACTAGGTACCTACTTATTTATGGTTTAGTTGAAAAAAATAATTTGACTTTGACTTTGATCAAGAATCTTTTCAGAATGATACTACCTAATTCTGAAAACGGCTGGCATCGCAGGTTAGGTAGTTTTTAATTTTGAAACTATTTGTGAAACTGAGCTGTGCATATATTCTCTACAAAAAAGCAGTTTACCATAGTGAAATATCTATCTATAATTATTGCACTAATCGATAAAAAGATCAGGTATTACGTATCCGATAATAGCCAATCAACGCCCTCTGTGGTCATTTAAGCTAATAACAATATACTTAAGTTTGGCACTGAGCACTGGCTTTAAATGCTTACCCTTGAAATCCAATTTTTCACATCAGGCATCTGATCCTTAAGCTTGGGACTGGACATCAAAGAGCTCACTAATTCAGATTGGACATCACTAAACTTCTTCTGGTTCTTGTACCGATCAAATGTAACGGTTGCACTGTAATTGATAGCTGTTTTGTGTAACATTCTACACTGATTGTAAAACATCATTTTACGGAAAAATACAGTTGCTATCATGATTTAAGTGTATCAAAAACTGTTTACGAAATCACTGTTTAATACGAAGACCCTGTATTTGTGCGCAAGCGCAGATTTGACACTGTCATTTCCAATAACCGATACACACATTTTTATTCTAAGTGTATTGGTAGGTAACGCAAGTAAGTATACAGGGTGCGTTTTTTATTTCCTGCATTTATCATTTTTAAATAAAAAGTAAAACTTTATTATTTCATTAAAGGTCTATTTTTAACCGACTTCTTACAAATATGTCCGACAAATATGTTGGAAATATTCTGTTATATGACCGTATATTAAATGATAATTATTATTATTAAGTACTTATTAGTAACAAATCACCCTGTATAGATACTTACCTACTTATCGGATGGTCATGGTGATATATTATTCAACCTTAATGCGTATTATATGCTTTCCGACAGCTAGGTATGATTCATGACACCTATTTATAAGCAGTTGTATGTACTTAACTAGAGTTATTAAATACTTAAACATAAAAACAGCTTGTCCAGTCCCTTGGGCTTAGATAGTGTGATTGATTATACTAATACTTGTTACTCGGATTTATCTTAAGACCTTCTTAATCAAGATCGAATTCTCAATAAAAATTGTATTCGCTTTATCAAACTTAAAACGTTAATTGCATTCCATGATATTAAATTTTTTTTTTTGGTGTCGGTTTGGAAAATCCTCATGGAGACCCACCGCCCTCGGGTAAGGGCGAAGGTACTGTCAGACTCTTACTGACTAAAAACCAACCCGGTGTTCCTCCAATAACCCATGTGTCGGAGGGGCGGTATCGCCGAAGCATTCGTCGCAACCCCCCGACGGGTATTGGCCCGCCAGATGGTAAGGCGTGCCCCGTCACCCACTGCGGCCGTCACCCCGACCGCAGGACTCCACTATGAGGCGCGCGCGGAAGACGGCGCCGCCGCCTCGAGGCCTGCTGCTGGTCAGACGACCAGACGATTCCATGATATTACATGTGTGTACCTAAGTACATAGGTATTAAGATCATTATGGCCCTGTCTAGCATAGCAAATTACATGGTACTTAATAAAAATAAATGATGTCTGCAGTGTGCAGTCTGCAGAATATAGTTTTCTTTCGCGTTCAGCTTAAATAGCTTCTTATACGTGAGAGGAGATCCCTCAGATCCTTCTTCCTGTTCTTCCCTATTTTGAATGATCCTTAGACTCCTTTTTTTATACTTGGCAGTTCTTAAAAAGCCTTGTCATTAGTAAAAGTGCTCGTTATATCGGTTCGTATGACGAGGAAAGATCAAAGAATTTCGTCATTATTTCGTAAAAATACATTTTAATGATGTCACTGATAGATAATACATAAAAACTTTATCAGGGCGTAATAATCAGTGAACAACTATCTAGCAAGGCCAGGGCAAAAAATAATACTTTTTTAAAAAGAAGCCCCATTTATTAACATGTTTATACCATAAACGCATTCATATCATTTTGATTTTATCATAAAATTATTATGTGCGCCTTTAGAGGGAATTCAAACCATTATAAAATATTTTAAGTGAATATGCAGTTTGGTAAACCCAAGAAAAAAAAAGTTTGGTAAACCATATAGAAAGTTGTAATGGAAAAAAGTTTTTATGTACATATTTGATTTTGATTTTTGTCCTTAAACGATGTTGAGTTTTGTTTGTATTGACTTCAGATACCTACTACAATAGGCCCGATTTCTTTGATCTACTTATAGATATTTGTTTGTTTCGTGTACTCTGTGTAGGTACTTATACGGGATTGTGGAATTAGAATTTGGCACATAGAAGAATAGAAGAAGAGTGCTTTTTCACGCGCGCACACACACACACACACACCTTCGTAAATTAAATAAATTTATAACCAGTCATTCAATTATACTAACTAATTACCATCAGCCAGCATGTGATCCGCTTCGCCTGTGCGATTGCCTTTTATTCCTTAGGTATTCCATAAAAAATAGTTACCGTGTGTTGTTAGTTACTCCATTTTTTGTCTGCACGTTGTAGTCATCCGAATTAGTATTAAATTCATCTAAGTTCTTTCTTTTTTATACGTGAACGCGTGCTCTGCACCCAGGAACGAAAATTTGATGACCAGCCCCTTCAAGAAAACGAACTGAATGATCGCAACGAAATAAGTGTAGGTATCTAAATAAAAGATTAAATTACTACAAATCTGCTGTCTCTCTAATAATTTAGTAATAATTGCAAATTTTTCTTTGGAACCGGTGTTCATAGCACATCTCATAATATTATAATTTATAAAAAAAAATAAGAATCCATACACCAAATTCTAATAATATCAATAATGTGCCTGACCACTATCTAGATACGTCATTGTACAAATTTCGAATTCTATAGACATATTTTTAATTAATTATTATCAATTTTAACTATACCTACCGATAAAAAAATTGTAACCCGCACACACAATACCTCTTAAAAACAATGAAAGGTGAATAGCATCATTTAAAAACACCTTCATATTTAAATTGACATCGTTCGATTTTTTTTCATCATTACAAAATTTTTATAGGCGTCTCGAAGAGAAATTAAAATCGTTATAATGGAGTTGAAGGACCATATCAAGGAAACATTTGATAGCTATTGCGTATAATGTCGTTAAACAAATTGTTATGACGATTAAAGCCTGTACAGAATTTTGGAAAAAATATTTTTTTAAATTTTCAAAATTTTTATTAGGTAAGTACTTACTTTCATTTTTTGTGACTGCTTCGGCTAATGACCGCGTGAATACCTACCGTGAAGGAGGTCTCGCATGTGAGGGTTTTATGTTTCATATTGGTTTTTAAAAAAAATACTGGTAAGAATACGATCAGTGCAACCAGGTCGAAACGTCAAGCATACCAAGGTATTTCAATGGCTATTTTTCGCGTTAATACCCGCGTAGTTATATGCTGTAAATATGAAACGCGAAAGTTTAAAAGTAAGTGGGTTATCATTGTGTAGGTATGTGCCATTACGTGCACCTTCTAAGAAACTCACCTTAATTTGTTTTTATTTTGGAAGGCTATTTAATAGCTTAATTGTTGTCGAGTTTACAAATCCAAATGTAGAACATGAAATTTTAGGAGAGCGAATATTACAATTCTAATCTAATTAAATCTATTTGATTCAGAGAAAAAGGTAATTCGTCAGTCCAACACAAAACTACATATTTATCTATTAATTTATAAAATTTTATAAGTGTAACCTAAGCCCTTAAAAATGTATACATATTTAATTTCTTTGTTTTGTTTTAGGAATTTATGCAATTCTTTTTTTTTTTTATTACGAAACAGATATTTATATTTAAACATAGATACTTATTACTGCATACCCAATATAGCTTCGATGTATCTCGTATATCCTGGGAAATGTCTAAGTTACTCCAAAACAGTCGCTTGTTTTACAATCAGCTGCGACAGTTACATTCAAATAATTTGAGTGCTCCTACTCCAAGTGTGGAAAAAGAAAAGAAAGCATTCCAAGATGTCCTTCCAGAATTTATCGATTCCGTGATAACTACGACTAAGATAAAGGAGCTGCCTGAGGTCGCAACATGGATGGAACAGGTTGGTCAAATAAATTATTTTATAGTATATTCAATAATTGTTGATAGCCAGATCTCTAATACATTATCAACTGTGAAAAGCCCTCTTCCCACACGGTGGAAAATTGAGCATCAATCACCACACAAGCTCAAGGCTGATTGGCGATCAAACTAATTAATTGGCGCGGAAGCTAGTGTCTCATACCCTTATTTTCCAAAAGTACTGCATTAAAGCATATACTTAGATAAATTCAGAAACAGCCCTTTCCCTCCTCCCACCCCTCCCGTATATCCGTAAATCCCAAGAATCACTTATCCTTGGGAACGCACTTTCCTCTCCTTGAGAACTCCTATGATGTTGACATCGTTGTGGCGGCGCCTATTTGCTTATCATAAACTAATCCATTCTCGTTTGAAGCCATATCATTTAAAAAAGATGTTAGCTGTCGTCTCAGTATTTTCAAACCACTTCCATCAGTAACTTTTTCATATACTTAATACGATGGATCAATTTTATATAGCATTTATAAAGTGCTCGAATATTTTGACTACATCTTTTTACAGGTCTTAAAATACGTGTTACCTGGTGGAAAACTGAGCAGAGGATTAATAACATCAATGGGGTACAAAATGTTTGAAGAACCTGAACATTTCTCAGAGAGAACTCAGCACGATGCTCACATCCTAGGCTGGTGTATACAAATGGTGACTTACTTTTTTTACTCGATTAGTGGTGTCAAAAAGTTAATAGGCTGACTGATGTGCGTGTCACGGGATTTCATACAAAATTTCAAGTCCAAAATCATAAAAACTACGAAACTTAATGTACACTGTAGTGCACTACTTTTATATTTAATTGTTTGAGGCAACGCAACCTCGGCCCAGAACAGGAGAAGGAACGGGGGGTTTTTAGTCAGTAAGAGTCTGACACTCTCTCTCGCCTTACCCTGGGCGTGAGAAGTCATTGGATGATTTTCCCCTGACAAAAAGAAATATTTAATTGTTATGGAGTAAAGTACTCGCAGATAGTTGAGTTTGGAGTTTGTGAGCGTAAGCACTTCTAGTCACGAAAGTTTATTTTTAAACCTTACAAGTATCATTGTTAGGTGATTCTCACACATAGAGAATGGTTTAGTTCTCTATGTTCTCACAGTGGTACGTTCGGTAGCGAGTTGAAGTGCATTCTGGTCTACAATTGAATTCCGCGACGAAACATCGCCCAATATGCATAGTCATCATAATAAAATGAGTTTTATTAACATAATGAGTGTACGTTAACCGTACATATTCCTAACCCGAGGAAAAACCAAAAACATTAAAACTACCTTGTAAGAACCCCTTGTATAGGAAAATGAACCAAAAAGATTTAGGGGCACAGAGGCAATTTACAACTTAAGTAAACTGTAGTCACGTATTTCGGCACATGTTTTTTTATAGCATAGGTCGGGAAATGAACAATTTGGTTACCTTATGGTAAGCAATCGGCGCCGCTCATAGACACTCGTAATACCAAGTGCTTTTCAGTCCTCTTGTGGGTTATTAGGGATGTAAAGATTAAGGATTTGACGATTGAGGATGCGAGGAAAGGATTGGCAGTTTAGATTAATGTAAAAAAATATAATTGTTAAAATTAGTTGAGTAGGTTCCTTATAGGAAATTGGAAAATTATGCCTCATTTTATTTTACACCTAAATCTACCATTCAATATTTGCAGATGCACGCATCATTTCTTGTATTAGATGACATCGCGGATGGAGCGACAATGCGGCACAATAAGCAATGTTGGCACTTGCAAAGAAATGTCGGTTTGTACGCCGTCAACGACGCTTTGATGATGCAACAAGCTATGATGGACATGTTAAAGACACACTTTGGGAATTCGCCTATCTATATTGACTTGATTAATTATTTTAACGAGGTAATTTGAAGTATTTGTACTGATAGATTTAAAGAGAGCAGTGTTGATTGAATCTATGACATACCTATATACCTATATTGCTCTTCTCCTTATAGAGTTTTTGAAGTTTATACCTAACTACATAGCTTCGTACTCATGCACTAGTTTCACCCGTAAGTCTGCTACTATTATCGTAGCGTGATGTTTAGTAGACTTATGCCTACCTTGCTTAATAAATAGATAAACACAACAAGAACAACACCAACAAGAACAGAACCAGTAGTTCTTGTGATTATACAAACAAGCAAACTCTAATATTAAATATACCTATATATAGAAGGATGATAATAAATACTGATATTTTATAGGCAATGTATCGAACCACGATGGGCGAGCACTTGGATCTATGTTCAAACTATAACAGGAACACAGATAATGTAGAAGTATTCAGCCTGAACCGCCTCCACGACGCTGCCATCAACAAGACAAGCAACTATTCCTTCAAACTGCCAATATTTGCTGCACTTCTTCTTGTAAAAAATGGAGGACAACTAGCCACTACAGAACTACATGAGTTGTGTTCTGAAATTGGAAGACTAATGCAAATTCAGGTTTGTAACTTTTAATGTTGCTAATCGTTTTAGGCGCCTGCTTCTCTGGCAACCGATTTGTCTTTCCGAGTTATGTGTACATTACACACCCAACAACACACGGTGAAGGAAAACATCATGAGGAAATCTGGACCTGTAAATTTTAATTTTAAATTTGAAATAGCCATTCCGCCTTCAGAAGGCGTGGTGATTAATGCCCAAATCTTCTCCGTGTGAAAAGAGGCCTTTGCTCAGCAGGTAGCAATTTATAGGCTGATGTTGTGGATGTTCCTAATAGACCTAGGATTGTAGTGGTTAGACCACTTTCTAAGTTTTAATTGAATATAAAAATAACCAAATTTATTAACAGGATGATTATCTGGACGTATACGGTGACGAGACGATCACAGGTAAAACTGCAAGAGATATCCAAGAAGGAAAAGGCACCTGGTTGTCAGCAACAGCGCTGCAGCGCTGTGATTCAGCTCAACTGGCGATCTTCAAAGAATACTTCGGCAGCAACAACTTGGAACATGTGAAGCGCATCAAGCAGCTTTATGATGAACTAAACCTGCGTCATATGTACGAACAATATGAACTGAAAATGTATGAAGATCTGATGCGTCGAATAAAAGAGGTGCCCCATGCAGGGGGTAGGATACTATTATCAGGAATATTAAAGTCTTGTTTTCAAAGAGATAAATGATTAAAGTTCTGTATCCTAAATATGACTTTTATCTCACTGTAGGTAACCTTAGTGTCATATGTAACATAATAATTATATGTCTCATACCATGAAATAACCTATTGGGACTACTGGACTTTTGAGATTTGTGAAAGATTTAAAAGGTGAGGTTACGACAAATGTTGACTAATATGATATCTTCGAAAGAGCTTCCACGGCGTAAAGCCGCAACTTTACGGAACAATCGCCATGTGGTGGTGTTGGACAACCCCAATTTTAATTTTATTTTTCCTTCTATAATAATAATTATATTACTAAGTTGATCCCATTCCTATAAGAATTTCTGATAAGAAGTAAGTACGCAAACCTGTGCGCGTTGCATTTGTTTCCGAACCTTGAATAGATTTCTGTAGGTATGCATATGCATGTATAGGTAATGATAATAAATTTCTTACATTTGTAATAAATAAATAGTTTATTTTATTTATACCTACTTACATACATTGACGCATTCGGTAATGCGACAATGACTGGCGCTGCAGCGCTGCAATTCAGCCCAAAATTTTATCTTTAACCCATGATACGGAACCCAAATCTACGCGAGACATAATGTATTTTCTATAGTATCTCATAAACCGACAGACGGGGAATTAAAAAAAAAAACTACGAAAAAAAATTGAGACATTGTGAGACATGCATTAAATAGCTTTATAATGAACTGAACCTGCCTTATGTGTATGAGTAATATGAACTAAAAATGTTAGGCTTATCTTTTGACAATTTTACATTTATATTAGGTAAATACAGGAGATTAAGAGTAACTGGATTATCACATTCTACTTTTTCATTGTTATTAAAATAATGATGTCAACTTATAAAAAGATATACCTAATAGCCATAATACATATATAAATATTTGTCAATAATTATTAGTTTTAAGTTAAGTTAAGTAAGTTATTAAGTCCGCATTGTGCAAGAAGTATTTAAATAAATAAATTAACAATGCAGGTGTTATTTATTTTGGAATGGAATGGATTAGAATAATTTGTAAGTTTATTACATACTATAGTTACTCTCGCGCGGTTTCACCCGCTGCTCGGCTCCCTATAATCGTAGCGTTATGGTCTATTATTGTACTCAGGAACATTGTAGCTATCTATCAGTGAAAGAATTTTGGCAATCCGACCAGCGGTTCCAAAGATTACGCCCTACTCAATACTCAATACTCAATACTCAATACTCAATATATTTATTGCATTCCGCAATGAGAACTTAGGTGGTAGGGTACATAAGGATTTACATACTTATATTAGTTTAGGAGCATTGTGGGGCCCTATCGGGCATAACAATAGTAGTAATTTTTTATGAGGAGGGCTAGTATAAATATATGTTTACAATTTCTCATTATTTTTATGTAGATAGGCTTATATAACTTATAACCTCAGAATACATAACCCTACATACAAACTTACAAATTTTACCTCTTATATAGTATGAGAGTTAATGAACATACCTACTTTAAACCTTAAAATAGTTGATGAGGCTACCCATTGAGTGACCGTCGGGTAGCCCTTAAAATATTAACAAAAGCTTATATTTTATGAGATCCGAACTATGGATATTAATAGTAGGCAATTTGAAGATAAAGTAGGGCCGTTGAGGGTACAACACAATTCGAAACATCACAGACATCTGGTTGCCATAATACTGACCTGTTAAATCTCCATAGAAACAATTGAACGTTGCACAAAAAGTGTCGTAATTCCCGAGTTGTAAGGGACTGGACAAGGGGCTCTGGCGAGAAGATGTTATAAATGATAAGAAAAGGATGGCGATAGAACACTTATTCTTGAACTGCGGAGACGGTGACGTCGACGATCTTGCGTAGACCAGAAATGATTCTTAGAATCCAGTAATACAATTTAAATTCAGTGTATCTAATCTACCTACAGTGTGGAAGTTTTGGTGAGTTTTTATCCCATCCTATTTGATTGCAACCTTTGAGAAGACCTTAAACTAACAATCTTGAAGTTCAAAAACCCAATAAACATTCAATACTTACCTTTTTGACGGAGTTATTCAATTTATAAATTACGAATTATTATTATTCTTCTAATTAAATTGGTCGTAATTCGTGATTATTTTTTTGAGTTGGGATCCCCACCGGTATGTACGGTGTACCGGCTTTTGTATTAGGTACCTACTTACTTATATAAGTAGTTGTAAGTCCGTGTCTGTGTCATTTTGTCATTGCTTTAGTATTTGGTAGACAAATATAAGAAGTTTGAATTATTGTTTCCTATTTATACTTAATACTACATCACTTTTTTATATAGTGTGTCTTGTCTGACGCTCGAAAATATCATTAATAAGCTTATTTTTCTTTCCAAACACTAGACATATATAAGTGAGTACATAGACTTTGAATAAATTTCCAGCCAGTAGTACTTGGATAATACATAGTTGTTCCATTATTCCATTCAGATCATAATGGCTAAATTAGTCCGGTTCAACCGTTTATTCTACAATCAACTACGACCGTTACATTCAAATAATTTGAGCGTTCCAATTTTAAATCTGGAAGCGGAAAAGAAAGCGTTCGAAAACGTCCTTCCAGAATTTATTGATAACGTTATAACTAGGCCTAAGATAAAGGAGCTGCCTGAAGTCGCAACATGGATGAAGCAGGTTAGTGATTAATTTTGTTTTCTTTTTTACCAGTGACCCGCCTCGGCTTTGCTCGGGTGCAATACTGATTCTAAATTTCTCCACTATTTAATGTAGTTTTTTATTGATATAAGTCGGCAAATGCCCATGCACACCCGCAACACCAAGGAGTTACGAGTGCGTTGCTGTCCTTTTGGGGATAGGGGTTGCGGATATAAGGATCGGGAAGGGATAGGGGAGGGGGAGGGATTGGGCTTCCGGTAACCTCACTCACAAGGCGAAACATGACGCTGTGGTTGTATCACGCACGCAGGTATTCTGTGAGGCCGTAGTATCAGTCCGGTCGAGCCGACCCATTCGTGCCGAAGCTTGACTCTCCCACACTTACGATTACTATGCATATAACCATGTAGGTTGTATTGAAACATGTATGTTGCTATGCATATAAACTGTCCTGTTCAATCATACTATATGTATGTATATTAAAAGTACCTTATCAAAATCCGGATATGGGGACAGAGAAAGCGAATTTATTTTATACTATGTATTATGTATGTAGTGATCCTAAACGCGGTAAACGAACATAGATCACCTGATAGTAAGCAGTCCGCACCGTCCACGAACTCTCGGAACACCAAAGTAAAGTCTTTAAGGGTTAAGGGATTCGCTAACATTGATTATTTGAGAATTAGGAAAGAAGGAGGATTATATTGCGTGCTTGCATACAGCGAAAACGACGCAGTTGCTTAACGTCTTTACTATTAAGCTTTCTACCATAATGTCTGAAACCAATAACGAAAGGCTCTTTTCATACGCTCCGGTTGTCTGTTACCTATACGTGGCTGGCTTAGTACACCTACATACACTTATTACTGTTTAAATACATTAAAGACTACGGGAAAAAAGTTCTTATTGTTATGTAGATAAAGATCATCAGAAAGGACTAGGGGATCTGATCCTGATAATGCATATAAAGTGTATCACCTAATTATTTCTTTTTACAGCTCTTAGAATACACATTAACTGGAGGAAAGCTTGGAAGAGGATTAATGGCGTCCACGGGGTACAAAATGTTTGAAAATCCTGACGATTTCTCGGAAAAAACACAACACTCTGCTCGTCTCCTAGGCTGGTGTATAGAAATGGTATTTATTTTTAAAGTTTAAACAAACAAACAAACTCTTTAGCTTTATAATATAAGTAGATATAGGTATAATGTACATAGTTGTATTTATATGTCCTTAGATATTAATCAAAATCCAAGCGAAAATATCTGGCTCGTATAGGTACCTAATACATAGTAGTCGTCGTACTATTCATAGGACGCCTATAAATTAGGTTTTGACTAAACTTTTTACCTTTTTCGTGGTGAAGGACGTAAGTTCGAAACCTGGCAATACAAATGTGATTTTTTCAAAGTTATATGCACTTTCTACATATATTTAGACACCACTGACATACGGTAAACTCGGTAAAGGAAAAAAATTGTAGAACTTTTTATTTCTAATGTATTCACCGCACGGTTGGCGCAGTGGCTGGGCAACTGACTTCTGTGCAACGTGTCGAGGGTTCGATTCCTGCATGGAACAACACTTTGTTTGATCCACAAATTTTTGTTTCGGGTCTAGGTGGCTTATGTACGTGAATTTGTATTTTTATTAACGCATCGACGACATAGGAGAAAATCGAAAAATCGAATCGAATAGATTGACGTGTCAGGCATTTTTTTTAAATACTCGGCTTTGAGCACTTATAATCTGATGATGATGATGATGATGAAAACATTAGATATATATTACTTGACAGTTGCACACATCGCTATTGGTATTTGATGATGTCCTGGATGGTGGGACGGTGCGACATGGGAAGCCGAGCTGGCATCTGCGACGCAGTAACAGCACACATGCTTTTACCGACTCCATGCTGATACACCATGCTATGATGGACGTTATAGAAATGCACTTCGGGAACTCGCCCTTTTATAACAACTTGACTAATTATTTTCATGAGGTAAGTACTAAGTATGGAGATTTAAGATTTGGAAACTGAAAATCCTTGTAGGTTTCTAAGGTTTTAAGACTTATAAACTTTGGACTGTGAGTAATAGGTAGCTGATGAATATCTAGTTGTTAGTACTGAAAATGTGTGATACTAAAGCTTATACGGGGCTCCAAGGTATTTTTTATGTAATAGATCGGCAAACGAGCCGACACCGGTTTACCTGATGGTAAGCAATCAGCCCCACCCATGGACATCCGCAACGGAGGAGTTACTTGTGCGTTGCCGACCTTTTAGGGATTAGGGATTTAGGAGGGATTGGGGGGAGGGGAAGAATTATGCCTAAGTAACTTCACTCACACGGCAAAACACAACGCTGTGGATGTTTCACACCGGTTTTCTGTGAGGTTGCAGGAGCAAGCACAATGGTGTACCAGCTCGTGGGAGAAGAAGGAACGTAGGTGTGGTTTTTAGTCAGTGACAGTTTAACACTCCCTCTCGCCCCACCCAGAGCTGGAGAATTCATTCGATATTTTCGCCACACTCAATAACAAAGTCTTTTTGTCAACCGCTTGACCAATTACGCAACAAAGAACTCTTAATACTTATAATCATAATTAGAAGACAGTGTTAAAAAAACACAATATATGATACTACATTAAACTACCATGAAGAAAAAACTCCTAACTCCATAACATCAAGTGTGGGAGTGCCATGCTTCGGCACGAGTGGGTCGGCTCGACCGGAGTGATACCACGGCCTCACAGAAAACCGGTGTGAAATAAACAAAGAGTTGTGTTTCACCGTGTGAGGTTACGGGAGGCGCAATCCTTCCCCTACCCCAATGCGTTCCCTTTCTTAAAATCTCCAAATCCGTAATGCCCAAAAGGTCGGCAACGCAATCGTAACTCCTCCGTCGTTGCAGGTGTCCATGGGCGACGCTAATAGCTTACCAGCAGATAAAAAAATGTATGATTGAGAAAATTTCGAAAATAACCTGGTTACACTGACGCGATAGACAAACCGGTTGTCGACACATTTGCGACCACTCGAAAAAAGGTCTAATAAAGTTTATTACAGTGTAAGCATAAAGTAATCAAACATAAAAAAGTCCAAAATTATGTTTGATTACTTTATCCAATACATAATTATTCTAATCAAATAGCAACCAAAAGCCATTAAGGTTTAAACATATTTTGCCATGCATTTTCAGGGTGCGTACCGAGCAGTAATTGCTGAGCACATGGACCTATGTTCCGGCTACAACAAAGACATGGACAATATAGAAATATTCACCATGAACCACCTCCGTGATATTGCCATCTACAAATCAGCCTACTACTCGTTCAAATTGCCATTATTTGCTGCACTTCTTCTGGTTAAGGATGGAAAGAACCTTGCTACCCCAGAATTACATGACTTTTGCATGGAATTAGGAATACTGATGCAAGCCCAGGTGAGATCAGAATGTAACTAAACTTGGTACATAAGTATTTGTTTACTTCGTCATTATCAGCTCGTTTTCATCCACTACTGCAAAGGTGTCACCAATGGAACACTCATCATTCTCCTCCCATTGTCCCGTTTTATTTGGGGTCGGCGCAATATGTTTTTTTCTTCCATTCTGTCCTGTCACACGTCACGCTATCACTAACTCCTCTGTCTTCCATATCACTTCTCACACAATCCATCCATATTTTCTTTGGTCTCCCTCTCCCTCTCCATCCATCCATCCATTTTCCAATAGAATACTACTGAGCTTTATTCAGCTAACAGAGACATAAGATAAGATAAGCGAGACAAAATGTATATTTTACTAGCCGCCCGCCCCCGCTTCGCACGGGTCCAACTATCTCGCTATCAAAGGGTCACTTTTTCCTAATCTTTCCCTCTAGTTTTCTCCTATTTTCTTTCATAATAACCTTCTCCTGACAATAACAAACACAACAAAAAAAGAATTAGCAAAATTGGTCCAGGCGTTGTTGAGTTATGCGCTTACCAATACATTTTGCGATCCATTTTTATATATAAAGAAGAAGATTGTGTCTTATATACTGGTATGTAAGGAGCGAAAAACTCTTTGGTAAAACTTCACAACTCTTGTAAAACAGCTCGTTAATTATGTTTATAGGACGATTACCTGGACGCCTTCGGCAACGAGACAATCACAGGCAAAAATGGCAGGGACATCCAAGAAGGAAAATGCACGTGGTTTTCCGTTACTGCGCTGCAGCACTGCAACTCAGCGCAACTTTCAATCTTCAAAGAATACTACGGCGGCAACGACGTGGAACATGTAAAGCGAATCAAGCAGCTTTATGATGAACTCAACCTGCGTCATGTGTACGAACAATATGAGCTGAAAATGTATAAAGATCTGTTGCACCGGATAAGGGATATGCCCCTTGAAGGAGCGAGGACTCTTCTCACAGCAATTTTAAATTTCTGTTACAAAAGAATGAAATAAAATGGCATTGAAGTTATTCCTTCTTTTTGATCTATTAAATTTTTAGTCCCCGATGCAAAAGGATAAAACACCCCATTTTGCGACCGATTGTAGTAGAGTGGGTAGCTACTTCCATTAGCCTTTTTTTAATTGTAGTTTCATTCACAGCTGCAAACAGGCTTCCAATACATCTTGTGGTCCTTATTTTATTTGATTTCCCTGGTTAAACATAAGATAGTGATATAGAGGTTTATATGTTACCTAGAATTCCTGATCTCTTGAAAGTTTCGATACCTATAAACCAATATAAACACAACCCTTTGTGTTTTCTTTGGACTTAAATTCTCAAATAGCGGCTTACTAATTTTACTCTAATAGGTTCAGTACTTTAAAATATAGAGTCACGGGTTTCGACCTCGTGATTTCCAGGATACAAAATTGTATCCAAATCGATTCAGATGTTTCTAACAAACAGGCAGAGTTAAATCCACATTTACACAGTTGATGAAAAAATGTGTAGAGGTATGCTTTAGCATAATAGATATTGTTTTTTTCAAGAATCTTTTTTTAATGTTGTTCAAAATGAATTGATACTGATAGCGCCATCTCTTATTACTAATGAGAATCGCTTCGACACGGAATTAATGACTATTGACTTCCTATTGGTATAGGGTTACCAGATGAAAAAATCAAAAGACCGGAGAAATAGCCCGATGTCTATGGAAAAGACCTGAGATTTTTTGTTGGTAGTGTTAGACGACGAAAATCAACTAAATGAACGTCACTAATATAATCTGTGGTCTCGGCAACACTGGCTGCCGTGGTGACGCTGTCGTCTGTCAACTGAGACAGATGATTAAAGTTTTCCCGCGCAAAGAGGGCAACGGGGATTCTGGTGGGAAATTTGACGAGCATAGAAATAAGTTTCTTATAAGAATTAGTTTTTAATTAAACTTAAATATTTGAGAGTGTGGTGTTTTACTTAAAAGTAGTTAAAATCTACACTTATTTACCCAATAAGTGTAGATGCTGCATTTTTTACGAAAAAGAGGAAAGAAAGAAGAAAAACAGAAAATAAAATTTATTTTGCTACCCGTCAAACATTGCGTTTAGTTTGTTTTACTTGGATAAATAAGTAGGTATAGATTTTTACTGCAATAATTGTTACCAAAAATATTGTTTTTAGTTGGTTTATGTTTTAATTAAAGTGATCTTTCAATTGTAACCTGGTGTTTATTGAAAATCCTGAGATTTTACGAGATTTGCAAAATCCGGCCGCAATCCTGTGAGAAGTCGAAAAATCCTGAAATCCCAGGACAAATCCTGAGATATGGTAACCCTATATTGGTAGGTATATCTTCCTTGGCGTTAACGTTAACTTTTTTTGAAGTAGGTATATTTTTGCTTGCAGTAAAGATGGCGCATGTCTCCTCATAACAGATTTACTCTATTTAGTTATGTAGCAATTATGTAATTGCTTAATCTGTTTGTTAATTGAACACTTTTAGAGAACCTTATTTATGTTAGATTGGTTTCGGTTCGTTGGGGAAATTCCTCCGTAGGTGGGTGCATAGTTTGAAATCCAGTCCACTGTCCATTTATAGAACTAATTTATGTCACTGTGCATCTCTGCCTACTCATACGTGAATTAAAAAGCGTAATTATACCTACATAATAAATCGCGTGTTAAATAGAAAAAAGGACTAACTCAAAAATGAGGATATTCCAAAATTGAACCTTATTACTGAAGCATAATTTTTAATATTGAAATACTTAATTTTTTGAGTTAGGTCTCTTTTCTGTTTATGTTATACGAGTACCTACTTAGAGTAAAATGTACAAAAGCGTAGATAGGAAAGTACCTAATTAATGAATGCCTAAAAGCTATCTATAGCAGCCCAGAGCTTCGAAAATAAGAAATGAACAAAATAATATCGCTCCCGCTACCGCATCATATCGTAGATAATGTGATATAGCGAACGATACAATTTGTTTCTCATTATTCCTATGAGTGAATAAATTAGAATCTCGTAATCCATACTAAGTACCCACTCCATAGGTAGGAACTAATATTATAAATGCGAAATACGTCTGTCTGTCTTTTCTTCACGCCTAAACTACTGAAGCTATTTATGTGAAATTAGGTACCTACAGACATTGGAAATCGAGAAAGGACAAAGGGTAGTTTTTAAACTAAAAATCTGTAGGAAGTCACTATTCTACGCAAACAAAGTCGCGGGCAAAAGCTAGTTTTATAATAACCATTACCTTAACATGCCTTTATAATAACGATTTACTGAAAGTACTTATTTACGTGGAAAACATCGCTATAAGGGGTTACGGGGAGGGCTGTAAGATATGTAACGATAACGATAGGTATTATTCGAGTAAGAACAGCAAACTCATTATAAAGAAAGTATTCTAACAATACTATTCCTGTAAAGTAAATACTTAACTGACAATTGCAGACTATAATAATATTAAACATAACTAGTGTCTTTGTTCAACGATGTTATTCGTACCTAGTATCCTATTATTGTGCATGCTGTTCTTTTGTTTTTACGCGAATAATATCGTTATGTTCTTTTGCGAAAATACTTTTTTCGTATGTAACCTCTTTGGAAATTTCTAATTAGTATTAAAACATAAATAAATTTCTATTAATCTATTAAACATCTACAAAAAAAAAATGTTTTCGTTTAATATACCTACACATGTTTGAATAAATCTAGTTCAGGTGTTCCCTAGGCACTTTACTTTTCAAAATTGATCTGTTTATAATAATAAATTCATAAAAATTATAATAATCTAGATTAAATTAACTCTATCTTATCAATGTAATTAGGTCAAAAGTTATTATTTCTTAAATCAATTGAGCTACCTAGCTGTATAAAGTGTGATCTTTGATTTTCAATAAATTTATTTTATTATTTGTTTATAATATTATATAAATCACCCTTTCACGTTGATCGTAAATTACCACTGTTTTATTTTTGTTGTAGATATAATTTTAATTTATCGTTTACGATATTATTCGGCATTTAATGACTACTTATAAAACCTACAATTAATAGGAAACTTCGTTTGTTTATATTATTATACTTTTGTTTATTAAGAGATAATTCCCGCTAAATACCTACCTATCTACCTACGTCCTGGACTTAACAAGGGAGTTTGCTACAATCCCTTTTACGCTTAGCAGGCGACTTGGGGCCTATATTTATTTTATGCGACACGGCGGGAAACGTGCTCTCAGACTCCCTGATGGTAAGCAATCACTGCCGCCCTTGAATAACCATAAGATCAGACGAGCTGTGAATGTTACGTCACCGACATTTTAGGGCCAAGGGATTTTGTGGATTTAGGGATTCGGCCAACAGTAACTGCTGTTAGATTTCGAGCCCACACAAAGCCACCACAGACGAGACCCACTAAGGCCTGTGTCTAGCCGGACTGCGCTTCCAACGTACCTACTAAATAAAGTACCGCGCCCTCGGCTCGCCCCAGGAGAAGGAAAGGAAGATGCTTAGTCAGTAAAGGTCTGACACACCCGTTCACCCCCCCCCCTCCCCACCCAGGGTCATTTGATGATTTTTACCCCTCAAAAAAAAAATACGACTTGAAAATCATATGTAGATATCTATCATGAAAAAGTCCAGAGTCTATCAAAAAGTTAGATAGGTACTTACGTTTCTGTATGCAAATCCCAGGTTATTTTTCGTTTGAATGAAGTGCTTTAACAAATTAAGTAGGTAGATTCTTACGTGATTTATTAATAATCATTAAAAGCAAAAATAAGATTTAAAAACGCATTTTGTATTTACGTTTAGGTAAGTATACCTAATCATATGATGAAAGGCCAGCCAGTTTGTTGCAAAATCAAAATGTTACCAGCGTAGGTACTTTTTCCTCTTTTATGACGAACAACCGTTTTGTTATTTCTAATTCGGTAATATCCAATTATAAACTACATTTCACTCTATTTATAAGTATTATAAACATAAGACACCTTTGACAAGTGTCGGAGACCCACGCTTTGGTACATATGCTTAATCTCGGCTGGAGTGATACCACGGCCTCACAGAATACCGGCGTGAAAAAACTACAGCGTTATGTTACGCCCCGTGTGAATTACTTCCCCCTCTGCCCTTCTCTCAATCTCACACGAATCCAATAATGTCCGAAATCCTCAAAAAAAAACAGGAACGATTCTTGCACTTTTTACAACATCTAGGACACTAAGTTTTCACTTTTTAGTGAAGGGTTTTTATGTCCTGCCATTTAGGAAAACTAAATTCCTACTAACCTACCAAAACCCACTCCTACCTTCTCTTACCTACATTTGCGCGGCTACTACTACTGATGGGCGGGTAACCTGATTTTTCAACAACCTTACACTATTCCGTCTATAGTATTGACGTCAATTTCATGTGCCTACCGTTTATAAATAATGCCCCATCGCCATCACATCTCCATAAAAATTCAAGGTGAATTAGGTACAATCTTCACTCAATTAAAATGCACGCACTACGCCGCGGGTCAAAGCTAAACTTTGTGAGGAATTAATCATGACTATGTAAATAAATATATTGGAAATAAATATATACGTAACAGTACCTAACTGGAAATTGCAGTGTACAACCTGCGTTCGAACACAAATTATATAGTACATTTGTACACGCGGTTTCTTCAAATTCAAGATGGCGAATCTATTTCTTCGGAGAGCATTGTCTTATAACCAGTTTAGGACGTTACATAAGACTGCAATTAAATACAATGCACCGGTACCGATCACTTTCAATATGTACAAGAACCAGCAAAAGTTCCGTGAAGTCCAGGCTGAAGTGCTGAATACCTTGATGTCCAGCCCCAGATTTGAGCACCAGCTAATTGATGTTGAACATTGGATGACAAAGGTAAGTGTAAATTGATATAATGGACTGATAACTGCCAGATCGAACAACAAAAACAATAGTTTAAGAACTAACCTACACTTGTGACTTTATTAAGGTTCTTGCTAATAATAGCCTAATTTACAGTTGCTAGATTATACTCTAGAAGGAGGAAAAAGAGGCAGAGGTTTGGCAGTGCCCTTTGCGTACGAAATGATGGAAGACCCAAAACATTTTACACAAGAAAACCTCCACAGAGCGCGGGTTTTGGGGTGGGTCGTGGAAATAGTGAGTAATTATGAAATTTTATAATAGTAATAGTACATATACCTATATATTTTTTTATAACGTTAGCCCACACTAGGATTATCTCCTATGTCGTGGGTGTGTTTACAAACATAAATTCAAATACACAGACCTGAAACAACAATTTTTGGATCACACTTTTCTTTAGGTACACTTGTGATCCAGAAATTGTTGTTGCAACATTTCCATTTCATTCACATTGTTTGTAATGTGAAACAAATAGGAAAATAGCCATTTTTTTATTCCCATAGATACAAGCGTATCTGCTAACTGTAGATGATATCGTGGACGCGTCACAAACTCGTCGAGGCAAGGAGTGTTGGTACCTACACAGTGATGTGGGGCTAGGAGCAGTCAACGACTGCGGTCTCCTACTTACCTGTGCCGTGGAAGTTATGGACCTTTATTTCGGAAAGGAACCCATCTTCAGCGATTTAATCAAAACTACCAATCGGGTATGCTACGTACTTCTATTATTATTGTATTCCTCCAATATAAATTACCCAACATAGGAGATACTACTCTTTACGAGATCCACTGTCAGATAATTCTGTTTTTATTACATTACTAGCTACTCCCGCGCGGTTTCACTCGCTGCTCGTCTCCATTTGATTGTAGCGTGATGTTTTATAGCCTAAGCACTCGGGAACATTGCAGCTATCTATCAGTGAAAGAATTTTGGGAAGCCGACCAGTGGTTCCAAAGATTACCCCCTACATACAAACATACAAATTGTTCGGTTTGATTCCCGCCGCATCTTTTCGCTATCGTTCAACGCGAAAAAATATTCATCCCCATAGATGGTTGGCAGTCAACAACTGTGCGAGTTTCGCGTAATTTTCTGCCCCGCACAGCAAAACTTTGGAATGATCTTCCGGCGGCGGTATTCCCGAACCGATACGACCTTCAAACCTTCAAGAAACGAGCGTAGGTACTCCTTCTTAAAAGGCCGGCAACGCACCTGTGACTCCTCTGGTGTTGCAGGTGTCCAGTCGGCGCTGATCGCTTACCATCAGGTGATCCGTCTGCTCGTTTGCCTACTTTTCCATAAAAAAAAACTTACAAACATACAAACTTACAAATTTTACCTCTTTATAATATTAGTATAGATAATCATAACGATGGACACAGATATTTTATACTACCTACAACCAAAACCAACAGTTTAATTTAAAATTTTTTTTTATTATTTTTCAGATGTTGTTGCAAACATCGATAGGTCAGTATTTAGACTGCTCATCTGGCTACAGCAAGGAGAAGAATAATCTTGATAAATTTACAATGGAGCTCTTCAATTCTATAGCCTATCAGAAAACTGGCATCTACTCTTTTAAATTTCCGATGCTCTTAGCTCTTACTTTAGTTAAGGACGGAAAGAATAAGTACTCCGAGGAAGCTCAGAAGATTGCCTGGGATTTGGGGAGACTTCTACAATTTCAGGTAGGAAATATTTTATATTCTACTTGTACGAGCTCACACTACGTACGTTATATCGCTCCAACATTAACTCCATCTCAAAGTTTAATAATGACATTTTTGTTAAATATCTAATGACACTATAATGGCTTTTAGACATTTAGCTAAAATTATCCAAATCAGTTCAGCCGTTCTCGAGGTATATATAGCGAGACAATCATTCATTTGATGTGTAAAAGAAGAAGACGATAATAAGTTTTATAATAGATAGTACCTAATATTTGATTGGACGTGAAGTTTTTAGTCTTGCAGACAGCCAATATTAATTTGCATAGGCTTCTAAATAAATTGTAGGTGTTCACCAGATTATATCGGATAGAGCCAGTTCTTAGGAACATTAGTTCAACATTTTTATATTAAAATTACTGACTAACGTATCGCACGCAATAATTACTAGTTGCCTTATTTTATCGAAATATTTTATTTCTTTTAGAATGACTACAAAGACGTGTTTGTCGACGATATGAACACGGGGAAGGTAGGCACAGATATTCAGGAAGGTAAATTGACCTGGTTTGCTGTGACAGCGCTGCAGCGCTGCACCGAAGAACAACGTTCCATTTTCAAAGAAAACTATGGGAGCGATAACCCTGAACAAGTAAAGCGGATTAAGCAGCTTTTTGATGAATTAGAAATGGAAAAAGTATACAAGGAAAGTGAAAGTGAACTATATGATGATTTAGTTCGTAGAATAAAGGCTCTGCCAACAAAAGGAGAGACACAGTTCTACTTAGAAATTTTGGAGGCATGCTGTAAACATCTCTATTGATTAATAGACCAATAATGGCCTGTCGCTATTACCATATTATTATGTTAATTTTAATGATAAATCTATATATGTAAAAAAAATTGATAGGTGCATTGAGTAGGCCTATTATAAAAATGTTTCATTGAATATGTATTTTATTTAAAATTATATTTTTGAATAAGATACCTACAGGCACGCCAGGAAGTCATTGTAAATGGCTGCTCAGTTGTTGACGTCAAGGCGAACGTTACTTAAGAACTATAAGTTATTTCTATAAAAGTACGTAAAATAAAATGTGGCCCATTTCCATAGCTGCATTCATTCTAATAATGATTGACAATACCTAAAGGTACTCAGCTCACCTTAACCTTTAGACACCTAGGGCCTAAAGTGAAAATTTAAAAAGCAACTTAGTCCCTCTCTATGATTTTCTCCTATGTCGTGGATGCGTTAGATACATTGCCATATTCACATCACACCCAACCTTAGAACAAGAGTTTGCGGACACAATGCATATTGTATATAAAAGCAAATTATTCCGAGCGAGGATGGAACCTGCGACGGTGCACAGCAGCAAATTTTCTATTAGGTTAAAAACTGGGAATAAATGGAACAATAAAACAATCAAATGGGTACTATCATAGTATATTCCAAAAATATAATGTTATACATGACATTGCTTTATATAATCGAGTATAAGGGGTAGTATTACGGACCCCTAGTAAACAGCAATAGTACTAAACTAACATAAAATGCAAAACTTAACTTAAACACTTTGCAAAATATAATACACAATATTTTGAGACGATTGTTACGAGGTTACATAAATAATGTTCTTCCAAGATGGCCGTTTTGACAAAATGGCGGGAAACTGACAAGAATTACACCCATTTAAAAGTCTATGGTCGAGAAAAGCGACATTAAAAAAATGATTTAAAAATGTTGTTTCTTTTTATAAGGGACTCTAAAACGAAACACAATATCAAAGATGATGATATCAAAGATGTGTCATTAATTTTTCCCTAAACGAATACACAAATACCTTCCAGGCCAACTTAATAACTTATGAACATTATTACATGACTATAATAATAAATATATATTATAGTTTATCCTGTTAAGAGTAAACATCAATAATACACTTAATAATCCGTATAACGTAGTGTAAGTAACAACCTTTAAATACATGGCTAGTATAAAATCGTCTCTCAACAATTGTTCATTCTTGTACACAACCGAGAAAGATTCGGGAAACTTCGAGAATATTCGGCCAGAATTTTCTAGAACATTTATATACCTCGTAACAGTTCCCATATTAACGTAAATAGAGTACAGATTTAAGCATTAGCATCATGTGCATTCACGTTTACAAACATCAGTATATTTGTGTTTGAAATGACTATAATATGTCTGATATTTTAATTTGAAACACAATCGTTTCGCTGACTACAAAACTAGCCTTTATTGTAACAGGAAAACGGTTTAAATTTTGATAATACACAAAGGAGACGGAATAACGATAAAACTTAATAATCATCTACATTCCAAATTGGACCTTGTGTCTCATTAAGCCAAAAGTTATCGGAATTATTTCGGTTGAGAAGACAAATAAAGGATTGTGTTTCAAACTAAAATATCAAACTAAATAGTACGTGCTAATATAATTTTGACTAGTAAGCACCAATTGACTAACATTATTTTCATTCCTTACAAAATCTATTTACAATCTGTTTTGGCTAATAAAATTTAGCCAATAAAACAGTATCAGTTTACGAAAAATGTTTACTAAATAGATAACTATGCTATTATTATTATACAATGAATATATCAAATTATATTTTGAGCGACATAAGTGCAGCCCTATAAACGTAAATACTCAAGTTTAAAAAGAGAAATAATAATTATTATATTATATTTAATAATGATAACATAATACGTTATTTTGTGCATATTCGTAGATATAGTTTAAAAATAAAAAAGTAATACATTATGGATTGCTACGCGTATGAATAAACAAACAGGTACAGTAGAAGGTACATTGCGATTAACTCAAGTGGCTCCATCTACTTATAATATTTTTACAATGACAGGATGATTGTTATCGAAAGTATTCGACGATGGTACAACACTATTTAAAAACAAATCTTATGTTCTTGATACTAAGGTGTAATTTAAAATGTGTTTATTTTAATTACAATTATCATGTTCCTAAATTCCTTTCCATTGGTTTTCTATCAAATACATAAGCATCGGCTGGATGGCTAATGCCTGCAGTGCAAGTCAACATAAATTATTAAAACATTTCATATGAAGAAATAATTATCAACAAGCAAAAAATTACTTTAAACAATAATAATAATTACGTACTTATATAAAAATAGGTGAATGTGAATTGTAAATGTTATTAGATTATATTTTAGTTGAGAAAGCTCTTATCAATGTGATTGCTAAGTTAATACCTTATGTTGATATCAATTGTGATCAGATCAAATTATTTCTAATACATTTTATTATAGTTATATCGTTAATTCGGTGGTCCTCTTTAACTACTTTTTCTTCAAAAAACGTTTCAAAAACCTATTAAAACTATTGCACCAAAAAAATTATAACCGCCATCATTGGTTGCGGGGAAAGCGCAATAAGGTACTGGGGTCCGGTTCGGAGCAAGACATGGAATGGGATGATTCCTATTTAGTAAGAGACACTGTCTCTCAACTCCTGTGAGGGACTCAGAAGAGAAGTCATTTGATGATACGATTTGCCCTCTTACAAATAAATAAATAAAAAGTGTATTTGAAAAATAATACGACAAAATTAAAAAGTTCTCAACTTTTTAATTGGAGAGATGGAGAGCCAAGCTTCGGCGTGAAACAACCCACAGCGTTGTGTTTCGCCGTGTAGGTGAGGTTACCGGAGGGCCAATCCCGCCCCTTCCCCTATACCTTCCCGATCCTTACATCCGCAAACTCTATCCCCAAAAGGCCGGCAACGCACTCGTAACTCCTTTGGTGCTGCGGGTGTCCATGGGCGGCGCCGATTGCTTACCATCAGGTAATCCGTCTGCTCGTTTGACGACTTATACCACAAAAAAATCAATAGATTTACATGTCTTTATTCTTTTTAGGTCTGATTTTTCAATGGTTAGATAAAAGGTACCTGGGGAATAATTATGATGCTGTCGCGTCAGAATGTTTGTATATGACAGGGACAGCAACAATTTTATTCCACATATAATATTTACCTGACTATTGAAAATCAGCCCTTAATTTTGAAATGTATTTTATTACTTTTTATTTGGTTGGTTAAAAGTTAAAAAATTTTGTTAAAAGGTTCAATAGTTGTAATAGGTTTAGGTGTTTTATGAATATTTAAGGTAAGTGTTACGATATACGCAAAAATGTGTATGCTTGCTTCATTTACAGTAGAACATGTTTAGTCGGACAGTTCTCCAACTTACTATGAATACATTGATGCGATTATGCAATTGTACACGAATACAGATTTAAATTAAATAACATTAAGGTCCATTATTCAGCCACGGCCTTTATTACTTACTACCTTTTTAGCGCCAATTCATTCTATCTTAGCAACATTTCAACCGTTGTTCAATAATATATCTTATTAATACTATTTACTACGTTCATATTAGAATATCTACATCTATTTGGCGTGCACAAATTGGCATTTTTAATACCAAACAGACATCAGTCGCGAGTGGAATAACATTTTCTATCGCCAACCATGAGATGGTCGCGAGAAAATTCAACGTCTTTTAGGGTAGTGCTACCAATTCAGTCAATATAAACATATATCACTACATATTTGCCGATATCGAACGTAAACTTATAATACAAATAGCTGAATAAATCGTCGCGCGAATCCACACCCGAGCTACCTATCACCAATACTCGGAACACACAAAAATCACTCTTATATCTCTTAATATTGAGTGCACTTTAAACCACCTAGTGTTGTGAAACACTAAAGTACTTCCGACATCTCGGAAAACAACCTTACTCCTCAAGTGAACATAGGACGAGTACCATTGAATATCATTTATCACTGTCACACTACCGTAAAACCAACTTATCAGACAAAGACGGCAATAACCCAGGTGACTAGTCCGAAGTCTGGACCCATATTTAAACACGCGATTGTACCTACTCATGATAACGAACAACTTTCCCAAAGGCTACTTTTCTACACTCATTAGTTTTATTGTTATTTCTATAGCAAAATTACTAAAGTTAAAGTTCAAACGAGGGCGCGCGGGGTCTCGCCGTTAACAGCTGATCGAGCGATGCATGGAGGGCACGTAAAATCCAAACTAATATTATAAATGCGAAAGTAAATCTGTCTGTAATTCTGTCCGTCTTTTCTTCAAGCCTAAATTACTGAACTTATTTGTGTGAAATTTTGTACAGACATAGTTTGGAACTCGAGAAAGGACATAGGATAGTTTTTAAACCAACAATCTACAGGATGTCACTATTCCACGCGAACAAAGTCGCAGGCAAAAGCTAGTTTGTAATAAAAGTAACAAAAATAAAACTAATCAGTATAACAAAATGAAGTCTTTAGAAAAAGTTGTTATCATGAGTACAATCACGTGTTTAAATAATTGGTCACTATTACCGTCTCCCTCTAACGTACGATTAGACGAATGGTGTGACAGAGACAAGACATTAACTCGATCCAATAACGTGTTATCAATTCTCAGCCTTAAATTGCGCGGCAATGTACTCAGCCGCATACCCGTCCCTAATATTGAAGTACAATCAGCTAAGTTATTTAGTACGCAGGTAACGTAAATAGAGATTGTTTGTGTACAGAATACAGATACAATAAAAGAGTACAGAGACAATAAAAAAATGGAGTTTAATATAGGTATGGGACAAAGGGTGTATTACTTTATTTATATTAGGACATTGTTCTACTCGTAGTAAGTTGAGTAGTTACATCTATTATTGATTTCCAGGCGAGACGGATATAACAAAATATGGCTCTTTTTCCTAAGAGCAATGTCCGACGCGTAGAATGTCTTGCGTAATACTACTCATGAATATGAACCCCCAGTGTGACTTGAAACTAGTCTGGTTATCTCACTAAGCAGAAAAGTGAGCAAGTAGTATTTTTTTTAATATTAACCATCGTGAGACATACTAAATTTATTAAAAATAACGATTAACCAACGTGGCTATACTAAGAAAAGCTCTACTAGTTTCAAGCCATAACGGGACTCTTATTCCTAAGCACCGTACGTGTGGCAGTGACGTCGCACAACCAACTGAAATCACTCATGAATAAGAGTCCCGTTGTTGAACTTCAAACTAGTAGAACTTTTCTCAGTTTATTCACGCGAGTAAATCATTATTTTTTAGAAAATAAGTAATTAAATATAAATTCCTAAAAATTGTTTCGTTAAAAGCAAAGCGCTTCTATCCCAATCAATCTATATTATCTAATCTGCGCACAAAATGACTTGTCTGATTGTACATTTTATATAAAATGCAGAACATACATACATCTTGTTTAGGGGTCGGTTTGTGTAAGTATGGGTAGCTGTGGAGCCACGGTGAGCCGGCGATGGGCCTCCGACCCTGTGAGAGCGGCCACCGTCACCCCGGCCTGGTACGAGGCTGGAATACGAATGTGCCGCGTCCTTGTACTGAAGTCTCCCCAACCAATCGCACGCCATTCGCGAATCACGTTTATCACTTGACCTGTAATTCAAATAATAATAATTATTAGGACATTTTAATTTTTGCTCTCTCTTTTTAGTCAAATTGTTGAGTATCGAATCATATTAAATATATAACATTGCCTTCTGTGCCTATATTGATCTCAGATATTCATTATTGAAATCTGTAGCTGGAAAATCCAGCTTTTAAGATGAATTGCTTCAAGGTAGTAAGTAAAATTTTTTCATAAGTTCGTATTTCTTAAGTAATGTACGACGATGAATGTACTCGTTAAAAATATCAATGGTATTTTTCAACGATTCCCTAAATTGCGATGTTATATTGAAGTAGCCACGCCAAAAGCAGTATCGACTTATATTGTACTATATTAATAAAACCGTAGTTTTTTTTGTAAAACAAATATGTTTCATCTTTTTTAAAGACTTTTTATAAGTTAAAAAAACTCACCAAGCACATTAAATGTATGGAACCGTCGATCAGGTACAACCATCAACGGTGAGAGATCAGTATCCGCAGTGAATCTTGAAAGGACATCCCTAGTTTTCACGAGTAATACTGATGGTGAGGTCAGGTGTTGCCAGAGCGTGGCCTCACGGATGCATTCTACTGGATTGCATAGGTACACGCCTCGTGGAGATACTCCGAAGACCATTTGATGGTGCCAGGCATCTGGGATATCATTCTCGTAGCCAGCTTGCAAGTTCAGTGTGAGTATTGGCACTGCCCCTATGAAAGAAAAGCATTCAAAATATAATAAGTAATACTAATAATACTTATTTGTTTAGTTAGTTTCAACGCGCTAATCTCCAAAAATACTGGATCGAATTGAACAATCCTTTTGTGTTAGTTAATCCATTTATCGAGAAACACTATAGGCTAAAACATCATCCTACAATATGTAGGAGCCGAGCAGCTGGTGAAACCGCAGGACAGTAGCTAGTAATTTATAATCAGAGTTTTCGATGTTACGGCCTATATCATTCTATAAGTTGAATAACTCCAGTCAGCCTAGTTGATTGATTTATTTGTTCGTCTGAATAAATCATCTATTGTTCAATAAGCCTTGAAGCGACGCTAGCGCCGCTGGTGGCGCAAAAATCCTTAAACATCTATTTCTTTATTTGATTTGATTTGAGGATGAGTTACGATTTATATACATACTAATGACATAATTATATATTTTTGTAATGTTTTAAATAAATAAGTTATGAATAGTTTGGAATAAAAGTTTGACTTGATTTCAATCTATTATTTCATAGTAATTTCTATAGGCACTTTTGATCGTCAAACAAAAAATAAACATCAAAATGTTCAACTTTCTGTGTCAGTCTGTCGGTCTGCCATCTAGTGAAGCTTTTTTCTCGTTCCAAAGTGTAGATGCCAATGGATAAGAACGAGCAAGAAACTCCATGGTTACTCTTTTTGAATCAATTTCACAATTCATTTTGTTCAATGAATCGCAAATGTTTAATATTCTCTTTAAACTTATAAATACACAGAACTTAACTGACAATTAGTGGGTATTTAGTAATTACCACATCACAGACTTCTGCATTTAAACAAACAACTACATGTAACCAAGTAATTAACATAAAGGCAATTCTTCGTGTTTAAAACCCTTATTTATGTAAAAATAGTCACCAGACCCGTACCAAGTAAATACATATTAGTAAATAAGCACTATAATGGCATGAGACAAAACCCATTAAGCTATTACGATCATTCATGCATATTTGCATTAATGTATGCAAATTACGTCTTTGTTTACATGGTCAAATAGTTTACATTTTTATTAGTGATTTCTGAAAGCCGACTTTATAGAGAAAGAGTTAAAGTTCAAAATTGTATAACACTAGTTTGACCTTAAGGAAGTAGGTTGTTGCTTTTTAACTTTAACAGTATTTGTAGAAATATATCAGTAGTAGGAAAATAATCATAGATAACATGAAGTCATACACAACATATCATTATATTGTCAATGCGAAAATTAAAAGAAATTTAGGGTAGAGGCAAAGAATAAGAAACGACACTTATTTTTATTATTTTCTCATCTCTATTGAAGGTAAATCATTGTCCTATACCTTACCATACATTTTTTCCCATAAATTTAATAAGTATACAGATGACTACGTTTCTATCGAACCCCAGTCACAGCCCAGTATAGTAGGCTCAACAACATCCATTGAGAGGGCAGAAGTTGTCAAACATATTCTACATTATCTGTTTGCCTAGTATACTGTGAGCAGAAACTCGTATAAAATTTTATTGTTATATTTTAAGATTATTGTGTTTTCTGGGCGTACTTTGAGTTATTATAATTATTATTTTACAATCGTATTTGTTTATTATTTAAAGAGTGTTGATTGATGTTGTTAACTTTTAATCATATTGTTTTTATATTGCATCTTGTTTACAATTTTTTCCTACTTTCCAAATTAAGTAAACCCTAAATCATATTTTAAATTACATCATATAAGTAAATAAATAATTAATTTTGCTTACCAACAGTAATCCAATCAGCCAGCCAGTGTGACAGTGAAATGGCTCTCTCAGGGTATGTTGGGAAGAACCTGGCAGTGACCAGACCATCCGAGGCTCTGTGGATACCGGAGACCAGGTCTGCTGCAGTGCAACCTGCCACGGCGCGGGATAGCAAGTATCTAGAAGAAGACGTGACATAGCTTAGTTTTGTTCATTGGTATAGTTATAGTGCTAATGATTTGATTTACCTAATTAACACGTTAACCGCCGCGTAGGTCACCGGTGACCTACGGTAGCGGAGGATTTGCCTTCAATAGTTTTCAGTCGGCAGTCAAAGGCTTAAAAAGGTAAATGTAAATAAATATCTTAAAGATATAAAATCATATTGTCATATCTTCTGAAACCGGCTTCGCCTGCATTTGTAACTAAACTGTACTATGATATGCCAGACTACATATAATCTATATCTGTACTAAATTTCATACAAATCTATTCAGTAGTTTTTACGTGAAAGGTTTATAAACAAACATCTATCCACCCACAAGTCCTAACTATCCATACGTACCAACTGCCGTGTTTATAATATTAGTAGAATATCTTATTGTCAGACATTTCATTTGTTTTCACATATTTGCAATACGGTTGTTTCCAACTAGTCAAATTGAATACTTTTATCCAAATGTCAAAAACGATACTTTTCTATGAAAATTGTATGAAACATTGAATTATGACGTCGTAGCATTTTTGCGTCAAATAGCTTACTTATTTTTAAAAAATTTGCTAAAAAATATCTAAAACTTAGTGTATCTATCGATCGATGAATAAAAGTATACTTATTTTTCAATATTTTATCGTATTAAAACGTTGAATTAATTTATTTTTGACTTAGGAAACTATCCAATTAATCTTATACAATGTTGTTACATTTCATTACAAATTACAAGTACAAAAACAATATGTTCTCATTCAACAAAAAAATATACTTATAATGACTATCACTTTCTAGTGTTTACCTCGGTAATGGAGCAGTATTAGCTCTCTGTCTGGTGCCGACAGATGAACTTATCTTCTCTAAATTAACAGGAACACCCAACGCATTCTGTAATGAAACATTTATTTATTCATTTACAATGAGCACACCAACAGCACAGTCAATATGTGGGTATATTCAATTACAATAACCAACAAAATACTTCTATAACCATGCAAATAACAAATAATATTACTATTACTATACTAAAAAACTTAAAGATTCATTTTGTTATTGGTATTAAATGTGGGAGAGCTAAACTGGCCATACTTAATGGCCGGTGTAAAACTACTACAACGTTGTATTTCGCCGTGTGAATGAGGTTACCGGAGGCCCAATCCGCCCTTCCCCCCATTTCTTCCCAATCCTGAAATATCCGAAACCTTTATCCCTAAAAGGCCCGCAACGCACTGACAACTCCTTTGGTGTTGCAGGTGTCCATGGGCGGCTCTGATTGCTTACCATCACGAAAACCGTCTGCTCGTTTGCCGACCTAAACCATAAAAAGTTAATGTGCTAAGGTGTGATATACTTTATTTGTTATCTCAGTGTAATACACCTAATATAAGAAAAATCTGCCGGGGTTGCGGGTGCCAGCGCATTTATGTACCATGACCCCAGCCTGAAGCAGGAGAAGGAACAAGGCGTTTTTAGTAAGTCTCTCTATTGGCCCACCTTGGGCATGTGAAAACATTTCATTTTTTTCTGGCTTAAAAAGGTCTACGTTGAAGTCTGTTATTTTCTACATTAATATATAAAAATGATTGCTACTTTTTGTAATTTTACAACTCAAAAACTACCTCGTCTATTCAAAGCAAATGAGAAAAAACCTAAACTTTATTCGGATATTTAGCAGATGATTTATGAGAAGTTTGCATAAAATCTGTCAAGAGGTTCTTCATTTCTTACGCAACGAAACACGGTCCAAAATGAATTAACAGCTGATTGTTCAATAGTCAGATAAATGTTATCTGAGGAATAAAATTGTTGCTGTCACTGTCTTACACAAACATTCTGGCGCGACAGCATCATAATTATTCCCCGGGTAACTTTTATGCACCATTGAAAAATCAGCCTTAAATTAAATTAAATACGCTTTTTGAAACGTTCATCTCATTATTGTTTCCAAAAGATGGTTGTTTCAAAAAGCGCAGTTTATAGAAAGAATTCCTCAAATCAATTAAGTAGTTTTAGAGGCTAAACAATTCAAAAAAAGACTAAAAATATTTCCTCTTTATAACATTCGTGGAGATAAAGATAAACATAAGATACTGACAAATACATTGACGACAGCAGTAGCCCCACAGGCCGAGGTACTGATTTGCGTGACCTGTCGCTCGCAGGCCTCGCACTCCGACCAGATCATACACCGCGGTGGCTCCACGCACGCCGCACTCGAACTCGTGCTCGCCGCTGCTTCACTCGCCTGAATGAACATATTATATTATATTATTGCCCCATACTAGGATTTTCTGCTTCGTCATGTTTGCGTTTACAAATATACAAATCACATAAACAAAACACCCAGACCCAAAACGAACAATTTGTGGCTCACAAAGTTATATTATACTTTAAACTTTCGCGTTGCATATTAATAAGCACTTTAATGTTTAACGGGAAATAAGGCATACATTAAATCCCGTTAATTCTTTAGTACGAAAACCCGGCCCGAAAAGACTACAGTCTCAAAAATAAAAAAGGCTGGAGTTAATGCTTATGTTGTTTTTGGTTGTGTAAGTGAGGATACCAAATCCGCAATTTCCTATTTTTCCCATCCCTAAAAGTCAGCAACACACCTTTAAATCTAATATTGCTAGTATCAATTGGCAACGCTGATTGTTTACCATCAGGTTGTAATTGTGTCTGCTTGTGTACTTCCCGTAACATCAACTTAAGAAAACAAACACAGAATAAGATTATTTTTGAATCAGCTGAGTAAATATAGAATTAGTACACAAATTTTATGAAGGTAAGTATATACTATACTCTGGAATATTTACCTTAGCAGTAGCCTGGCTTTCTGCATCACACCGAGCCTTCTCAGCAATCAGTTTCTTGGCCATTGTAACATGGTACAGGGCTGACGATAGAGTTGCAGTGTCAAGTGTTGATTGGTTGATTTGATGAGCAAAAGCTTCCACATGTTCATCATCATCTGTAAATGATTGTGTTATAGTAAACCTGGTAGGACACCCACATACCTGTGAGAGATAGATATATCTCATATATACTCACTCTCACTCAACTGTCTCACTCAAATTGTTCAGACAAAGGACTATGTAAAAAGAATTGAAGGAATAAGATTTAAAATAAGATATTTCTTTCCAATTTCATAAACCAAAAATTGGAATCAGAATTGACAAGTTTCTATTTAAATGTTGCTTTAAATGAAATTCTTTAAATATCACTTCATGAACCATAAAATTGCAGAAATCACCTTGATACCAAATGTTCTATTAGGTACTATTAAAACCATTACATTGAGTATTAAACCTGTAAGTAATAACTTTGTAGAAATAAATACATAGTAATTGAATAAATTAACCTGAACACAAAATTTTATATTTTAATTTTTTATCTATGAAAATCAATGTCAAGGTGTGAACTAGATTTCTGTACAGTATGATTACAATTTCAGTAAGATGGAAAATTATACTACATTTGCAGTTGGATAACAAATAAAGATTAAACTGTTTTACTCACAACACAATAGCTCTGACGGTGACACCAAGTCTCCACTTGTGAAATGTAGACTGCCTGCAAAATTAATAGGACCATGTGCCATTGTCCTTCTGACAATAAGCTGCTCACCCCTTGAGTTTATATGGGTGATATAAGGTCCATAACTATAGTTTTGATCAACATAATTATGGCTACTACTGCTCTCGGGAGCATCCCCTTGACCCGCTACTCCTCGACTGGTTGATGGCACACTGTATGAATATAAGTCTGCATCCCCATGTGATACTGATGCTACAGGAGCTGGCACACTCACAGGATTATACCTAACTGGAGGAACATACTCAGGAGACGTTCCCCTCAATAGCACAGGCTCATTTTCCTCTGGCATATTGCTAGCAGATTCCAAATCAGCATCAGGGGATGATTCATCACCAGTATCCACTTCACATGAAGGTCCTGGATCAAAATCCATTTCCAAAAAATCCATATCAGGGCTAGAAGCCCTTGAACCCTGTTCTCGGCCTCCAGCTGCAGCCTGAGGGGGCCCAGGAAAATTAGGCATAGCTAAATGTTTATCTAAAGGCAAGCCCATGTCTAGACTAAAGAATGAACTTGGTAAATCAGCCAAATGTTCTCCGCCCCTGTATGTGTAGATGCACCCATCTTCTGATCCCAAAGAGTAATCATCATTGCCAGTATCACTGGAGCTATCATCATCTAAATTAGGCCTGTTAAGCTTCAGACTTGAGGGTCTCTTCCTGTTCTCTCTGAAAGGACTGCACTCTGCATTGTCACTAGTTTTACTAGTGCCACTTGTTGATGGTAGGCTGCTGCTGCCTGCCTTGTCTAAGCACACCTTATGTCTCTGACAAGTCTGTTTGTCCTGACCACTCTCTGTTCCATTGTCATACAGTGTTGCTATGGACCTACTGTTGCCTGCAACCGCAGGATCCGTTAAATCAGGCTTTGAATTTGTCACTTTATTATTACAAAACTGTGGTTGAGCAGAAATATGAAAGGCTTTACTACTTCCGGGTATATTTTCACTACACTTGCTATTTTGCGAAGCTGGCTCATTACAGGATGATGAATTTACATGATTCGGCTGGGGTCCGTTCGAGGGGACAAAGCTCGAGCTAGCATTCGAGGTCGATGTAAATAGGTTTTCAGCAGAGTCTCTTGGCCCTGTTGTATTAGGAGAGTCTTTGTAGTTTTTACTATTTCCTTCTTCGACATCTAGTTTAATAGGATTCCGTATAGACGAAGAATCTTTAGAAGAATCCATGATTACAAATACATCGTCGAAGTCGGCATTGTTCACTTAAATTTTTAAGGTTACCAACGGCTTGTTGGTGCAGAAAGAGGCTTGAAAAAAGGCACTAAACTAAAGTTTCATTGTATTACAAACAAACACTGAGAATAAATTCAAAAACACTGAATATTCAGGGCACAATCTGCAAAAGGAAATAATAACAAACCAATTCGCAATATTCAGATCAAAATCCTAATTTGACATTTGACAGAACGGACAACATAAATGACAGTTGATTTCATTCAAAGAGAAAAGTTCATTGTAATTGAGTTTTCGTTTCATTCTGTTTTGAAACGTGGGATTTTCACATCATTTTTAGCCCAACAATTGTTTATGGATTTAAAGCCTTATACACATTTTGTAATGCTAATAATAATTAACGTTTTCCTTTATGTACTTTGTTTTGAAAAGTATTTACTTGTTCTCCGGCATACAGTATTGGGAAATCAAATTTCTAAGACCAGTACAAAGATTTATTACAATTAGATTACAATAAATACCTTATAAGAATGTCATGGCGGATCAATGGATGAAATTCCAATAGTTTAAACTGCCCTTATAGTAGAGGCTATGATTGTCAAATTTTCTTTCATACATTTTACAATGACAAATTGATTCAACCAGCTGTGAGATTTCTAAAAATTGCGTCTTATTTGTTACATTAACAATCGATTTCGTGAAATCTTTGTTTATTATCATCGACCATTGTAATTTGCAATAGTTACAAAGACCTGCAGAGAAGATGGCATACGCCTACTTATTCAAATACATCATCATCGGAGACACAGGTATTGATTTTATTTCCTGATATTTTATTTAGACATCACAAAAATTTGAGCTGTGCTTTAGTCCTGTTTTTTTTGTAAAGATCACTATATCGCAATTGGACTCTTCTTCATTCAGGTGCGGGATCGATCGATACCTGCTCATTGTTATGAATGTTAGTATTTTGTGGTAGTCGCTTTCCGCCTACGCTGTCTACTAACTACGTCGAGTTAGATCTGTAATGCGCATCTCATTATGTACTGTGCAGTGAATTTCAGCTAATTAATGATTTGGATCAATACATTATATATTTCATTATGTGTTATCATGTATGTTTTTTTAAGGCTCATTCAAGGACTTTCTTTGTTTGTTTTTTTTTCATCTAATCCTAGTCTTTTCCTACATTTTTTGCTGTTGTGTAGAATGTAACAAAATAATTGATACCACTGTTCCTATTTTGTAGTAGTACTCTTATTATTGAGTGATTAATGAGAGAGATAAAGAGTTCAAAGCTCTTATTGGTCTGGTTGCTAATGATTTGTTTATATAGACATCACCTGTTCCTTTGTCTGGTTTTATTATACATTGACCTCACTGATATTTATATCCAACTTGTTTATTTAGGTAGTAATTTGATATTTTATTCAAGATATAAGCAATATAAAACCAGTTTTTATGTCTATAGTATACATGATACAGGGTGTTATTATTTACATTAACAAAAGCATGTATTTTAAAAAGGATGAATATTTTTGTTGACAACACTTATATCTAATGAACTTATACCTACTTATTAATGTACAGGAGTATCTGCAGAAATAACAATTTGTCTAAATTGTTTGTATTGTTCACAGGTGTAGGCAAGTCATGCTTACTACTCCAGTTCACCGACAAAAGGTTCCAGCCGGTACATGATCTCACAATTGGTGTTGAGTTTGGTGCTCGCATGATTACCATTGATGGCAAGCAGATCAAACTCCAGATATGGGATACTGCTGGGCAGGAAGCCTTCAGGTAGGAATGATAATACAGCCTAACTATAATATTATACAATCACAAAAACACAGAAAAAGGTGTGATAATATTTAATTTATTAAAATAATTTATGAGGTGAGATCCTGGATAACATGGCTTGATGAGATTCTATTTCTTTTTAAAATCTCTTGTCTTTAAATACTTTTAGATAGATGCAAGGTTGTCTACCACATCCTTAAAAAAATAGTATAAAGATCTAAGACACTGATACTTTGTACTTTCTGCCTTTCCCTATAGACAAATCTGATTTAGTAAAAAGTTATTTACATAGTGTACCAAATTACGAAAAAGGTTTAATTATTCAATATAATATTAAATTTCAAAACTTAATATGGTATTTCAAGAAACTTATATGGACCTGCAAAAACTGACTACCTAAAATTATAAGTAATTACTTATTATGTTTTAACAGGTGGTTTCTATCTTGCATTAAAAATTAAATTAGCAGTAACTTTGCTAATTTTCATTTCTATTGCAGCCTATTCTAATAGGATTATCAACAAACTTGGAATTTAACCTAGACTATGTTGTGAATGTGTGTTGTCATTTTTTACTCATCAGTTATTAGATTTTGTTCCTTAATTAGCTATATTTGTTGTATTTAACTAAATAAAGAATTGTCAAATAAGTCTGAAATTTACATAACAAATTCCTATTGAATATCTATTTATAAAAATCAATTGTAAAATGTGTTGGTAAGCACATAACAATGTTGGGAGTATTTTTTAATAAGAAAAAAACATATTTGATAATAGAATGGAAAATCCCGAAATCCTGACCCTTATGTGGTTATCTAGGTAGATGCAGGCTACTAGTTCAATGAAAAAATGACTAATGTTTATGTAACTCTGCTCCTCAATGGAGATATAAACTGAGTCACTCACGAATTAACCATAATAATTTAATGTCTGGCATTGTATCAGTGTGTATTATTATAATGAGTCAGCTTAAATAGGTATTACAGTATTATGAATCAGTATGACTGTCACTAACATCACAGGTTTCATAGTTTATCAAAACAACTGACATATTGTCACACCTTTTGGACTGGATAGGTCAAGTCACTAAATGTTCTTCGTTTATGAGTATTATTTGAGATGTGCTATCAATCTTCAACTCTTGAGTTTATTAAGTAGCTAAATTAATACCTACTAGCGGCCCGCCCCCGCTTCGCACGGGTAACTATCTCGCTATCAAAGGGTCACTTTTCCTCTACTTTTCTAATATTTTCTTTAATAAGAACCATCTCCTGACAGTAACAAACACAACAAAAAAAGAATTAGCAAAATTGGTCCAGGCATTGTTGAGTTATGCGCTTACCAACACATTTTGCGATCCATTTTTATATATGATATTAATACCTTGTCCCACTTATAGCAAAACAGAGACCTTGTTTTCAATTCTAACACTATGCAACTAACTGCTCCACTAAGAAGGTAGTCTAAGTAGTATAAACCTTCTTTTTGCTTCGGTTAAAAAGTTAAGCAATACAAACAAAAAACATTTTATTCTACTGCTTAAAAGTAACCTAGATTTTATGCTATTTAACATTCAAAACTTGTTCAAGAGAATGTTTTAAAATAATGTAATTATACTTAAAGAATGTCATGCTTAACCAAGCACAAAATGAAGGTTTTGGTGTAAATAGAAAATCACGATTGAAGTGTCTGGTAAATTATGACTGGAATTCTTTAGTTATTTATTGTTTTTAATTTTAATTGTTAATTTCTGCTAGATACGTGTTTGTTGTTCATATAATTACAATAACATTCCTATAATCGGACATCCCTAAATAAGTGTTAAAAATGCAAAAACATTTTCTACATTAAAAACAATAGTTTTTCATAACAGTAACTGCACTGACTTGCCTTTGACTTGACTTTGACTGCACGGTTGGTGCGGTGGCTGCCGTGCATCGTGTCGGAGTTCGATTCCCGCACGGAACAACTCTTTGTGTGATCTACAAATTGTTGTTCCGGGTCTGGGTGTCATGTGTATGTGAAATTGTATGTTGTAACCGCACTCACGACACAGGAGAAAATGCTAATGAGGGGCAACGTTTATTTGTTTAAAAAAAAGTAAGAATAGTCTTAAGCAATAAATGGAAGCATCATAATGATGAAAATAGGATTGCAGTTGATATGGGATAGTAACTACACAGGAAAACGAATAAAAAAATTACTCCAGCAAAATTAAATTCTGTAATTATAAAACTAAGTTACTGAATGAACAATTCCAAAATCCAACGGCCGAAACAAGCAAATGCGTATCAGTTAATTATCAGCTACTAACACTTCACACATTCATAGTATTTGTTTGACCTTGATTAGAATAATCAAGTTTTACATGCAAGTCGGGCATAGGAACAATATAAATTGTAGGTTTGTAGGTACTTACGAATTTATTTATTGTGCACTGATGAAAATAATGGTACCTAGGTAAAAATGTAATTGAGATTAGTAAATAACTAACAAGTACCTATATAAATCAATGACAGTGTGAAACAACGGTTACTTATTATAAAAAAAAAAACAATCATTAAATTTTTTTCCGAAAAAAGGCAAAGTTAAAAAAAAGGCACAAAGGCAAGTTGTAGGTCGAATTGAGAAAACTACTCCTTTTGCAAGTCAGTTAAAAAGCTTTCACACCACGTCCGAACGGAATCCGATCCTAACCTATGAAAATAGACGAGGGTCCACCCTAAAGGACATAATTATAGAGTACCTAAACCTAGAGTTGGATAAAAAAGTACTGAACTCCGCATACAATAATCTTAATTTTATTTTCAGATCAATCACACGATCATACTACAGGGGCGCGGCGGGTGCCCTGCTAGTGTACGACATCACCAGACGGGACACATTCAACCACCTCACCACTTGGCTTGAGGATGCACGTCAACACTCCAACTCCAATATGGTCATCATGCTGATTGGCAATAAGAGGTGAGATCGTTTGAGTGCCTTTCTTCAAACTTTTTATTTGTGCTGTTTTCCTTTTCTCGTTCGATTGTCCTGGATATACATAAATCCTCAACCAACCTATGACGAATAAATCAAAATAGGTCAGCCATTCAGGCGAATAACCTAAACCTCTCTTCTGTAATAATAACGTCAAATGGCTTCTTCTTTTTATGGGACGGGTCACCTGATGGTAAGCATTCAGCGTCGCCCATGGTCACTCGTTATTCCACTCCTACAAGTACGTTGCCTACCTTTTGTAACTTTTAGGAATTAACGGTTAGGAGATTTGGGGATTGATGATGGATAGGGCCTCTGGTAACCTCAATATCACGGAAAAACAAGTGTTGTTTCACGCCAGTATTCTGTGTGATGCTGTGGTATCACTTCGGTCGATCCGTCCCATTCCCGCCGAAACATGGTTCTCCCACACATCGTCTCTGTCTTTGTCACTTGTTTGATTAGTGTTTTGGAAAAAACTAAATCGAAACGGGTTTTGTTTAATGTTTTGGTGGAGTGTGTATTTGGTTTAGTGTTATCAAACTAGTTACATATATTGACGTAAGTACAACAGGCGATTTAACCTCAATCCGTAAATCGATCAACTTTATACTTATCAATAGATACTAGTGTGTCATAGCTTACGTCCCTTTATTCAAACGCGTTATCTCTGGAATTACCGGTGGGATTATCAAGTTCTTTTACAATATCACATAGCATTATTACGTATGTCTTATTAGAATAGAGTTTTAGAATAAACATACTTTAAGTATGTGGGCTTCAAAACGAACAAACCGGCCACACAGAATTCCACAGTGAAGGCCCAATCGTTCCCATCCCATCACTTCCCAATACCCAAAACCTCTCAAAAGGTCTTCAATGCAACTTTTCTTATGCGGTGCGGATGTTCATGGACGGTACCGATAGCTTACCAGACCACGAGGTAATCCTCGTCATCCTAACCGAAAATCCATCTGCTCGTTTGCAGACAGCCCCTATAGTTTTTGTAGCTTACGTACACATAAAATGGTTTACTTCAATTTTGTCTTGAATACTTAAGTAAGTACCTATCTATAGTTCTGATGTTATTTAAATGTGTGAACAAAGTGCATTGTGTTTCTATTTCCGTTATCTATTGTAAATAGGTAAGTTGTTTATACCATGAGTTGGTCAACCGTTATTAGAATAATGCGCACGACATTTTCCCCGTGGAATGCGGGTCGTACTTATTGCACAAGGATGACTAATCACTTAGCTTAGTTAGAAACTTCTTTGTTATAAAAAAACATTTGTTTGAAAATAATAGTTTATTGTTTATTTATGGGGTATAGAAAAACTGATGAAGGTATTCATAATATAGTATAACATTCTAAACCGCGGATTCATTGAAGTACCTACCTACCTATTTTTTTTTGTGGAGGGAAAATAATCAAATAACTTTACTCGCCCAGGGTATGGGAGGGATTGTCAGACTCTTACTGACTAAAAATAAACCCCGTTCCGTCTCCTAGTCTAGCCCGAGGTTGCTGTACCTTGTTACCCTTGATCCGCAACCCCCGCTAAGACGTACCCATATCCACCGGAATTCGACACTAGTGTCAGGGGGTCTTTAAAAACAAATGAAGAATAGTAGTGTAAAGACTCAGAATACAGAACAAACCAGAAGCCGCGTTCACTCATAATTACATGTCGTCAAATGTGTCTAAAAACAATACGTCAATCCCCTCGCCAGCCGCACTTCCCACCCGCGTAGTGTTGCCGACAGTGGAACAATTCCCTTGGTTTGGGGTAATTTTACAACAGGAGGGTAAGATACGAGTAAACCCAACAAAATAGGTAAACTTACGATAAACAACAGACTAGTTGTTCACACATTTCATAGAGGTATCATAAAAGTTGACGATTTCTGGATTTGTTAATTTTAGTTACACCTACTATACACAACAAATAAAATAAAGCTTCAATAAGTACAAAGGTTTTATTGCGTTCCCTTTTGCTGGTTTAGTTTTTTATATGTATTGTCTTTAGACTCGGAACTAAAGATTAGAAGTCTACTTACTTTACTTAGTTCCTGAGATTAGCGCATTCTAGCAAACAAACAAACAAACTCTTCAGCATTATAATTAGTATAGATATATCTTAGTAGGATATGCTGTTTTCAAACCACCTTTGTCATAAATATATCTCTTCAAAGTGAATTGAGCAAACTATGCTCTGGCTAGATGGTTTCCAAAATTAATCTAACCGTGCCCTTTGTATGATTTGTATTTATTTTTTTGTCAGGGAAACTAATATGACATAGGCTCCATAATGGACAAAAATATAACCCACAACAAATAAATAAGTGGGTAAAATTTTCACCAAAAATGACAACACTCACAAAATGGCCGCATCATTTTCATAGAAAAATAAATCGATAAAAAAAATTCAATAATTAATTAAATATACTATTGCAGTCGACGCTTGCAGATGAAATGTAATCTTATCCACTTTTTTCGTAATTCCAGCCGCATTTTTACTCGTAGTAATAACATAAGACGGCATAATGTAATTAAAATTGATACTCGTAAATACGTCACGACATGCCACGTGCCAAAATTGACTAATCGTAGAAATTTCATACTATTCTAGTTAAGAATGGTTTTAGTTGCCTTAGTTTGAAGCGCGATGACGCCTTCTGGTTTGTTCTGTATTCTGAGTGTAAAGATTGCTCTTTTCAGTAGGTTTTTAGTTTTGGTATACAGCCACGAGACAAAGGCGCCATTGTGTTAATACAAAATTGAGAATAGGTTACGTACCTATTTGAGCGTTTTCAAAATTGAATTTCGCTCTAAAACTATACTCGGAATTTTAATTCCATTCCAGATTTGACAATTTCAGTGTTGCAACGTTATGACACGTAATAAATAGTGACGTTGCGAAATTATTCGATATGGAAATCGAATATTTATGAATCGATTCCTGTCGTTTATAAATTTACTCTTGTAAACTAAGTTTATCAGGAAATAAAAAAATTCTGAACCGATAATTGTTTTGGCAATTAAATAACGATCTGAGGCTTTTCTTTTGTAATTGTGTGTGAAATTAATAAAAAATGTGATTATGAAGGAAGACAAATAAAACAGACATTTTATAAATTGTCGCCGTCATCGCTATCGCTATCGCCGTTACTCTATGTAACATTTATTATGAATTGTGTCTTTGATATTTATTGTCAATTAACATATCTAGCTTACTCATTTTTTCCTCTTCTTTGAAAACATAGGATACACATTTAGACCATTCGGTAGCCGTAATTTTTTGAATGCCTTCCTGAAACTGATTCACTGATTGTTTATCGATTTTGTGTTCATCACTACAATTTTATATGTGGTATCATTATTTCACAAAATGACAGTGGTCAATGTCAAATCAGGAATCGAATTAAAAGTCTGACTATAGGTGGGATTGACATATATACCAAATGACGTCACGGAACTATTTCTCCTACATAACACAAACGATAGCACCATAACCATGACGACCATGTGATTAATTCCAAAGCCAATATTGTTAATATGCGTGTTGAGACGTCATTTCCCTTACATACAATATTTGTCTAAGGCCTGATTTTTCAATAGTCAGATAAATGTTATCTGAGGAATATAATTGTTGCTGTCACTATCCTTTACAAACATTCTGACGCGACAGTATCATACCTAATTATGCCCAGATAAGTTTTATCTAACCATTGAAAAATCAGCCCTTAAAAAATAAATAAACTGAAAATTTATAAAAATATATTTTTATATCGGTCAATTAGCCAGTTGTGTCAATAGGGCATAATATTTATTTTCATTTATATTTTCAGTGACTTGGAATCCCGACGTGAGGTGAAGAAGGAGGAGGGCGAGGCCTTCGCTCGCGAACACGGCCTGGTTTTCATGGAAACATCAGCCAAGACTGCGGCCAACGTGGAGGAGGCTTTCATCAACACTGCCAAAGAGATTTACGAGAAAATACAGGAAGGCGTATTCGATATCAACAATGAGGTCAGTTGTGCGCGCTTATCTGACAGTCGATAGTTCGATACGCGGCAATGATAATTTGTTGTGAATTTACATTCATTTGGATATTAAACCAAAACGTTTTATCAACAAAGATAAATAGATTTGTATAAATTTAAATTTGTTTCGATTTCTTTTTTTATTCGGCTTTCCTTATTACAAAATATAATTAAAGTAACTTATGACATTGTTGTTGACGTCCTAAAAAACTAGAAGTACCTAAATTAATTATATTTTATTTCAGGCAAACGGCATCAAGATTGGTCCCCAGCACTCGACGGCGGGAGGCGCGAGCGGCGCGGGGGGCGCGGGAGCGGGCGGGGCCGCGGGCGGAGGCTGTTGTTAGGTACTGCACTGCACACACTGAGGAGGGATCGCTGCCCTTTAGATCGGGCTGATGAGGTACCTATTTGCTTTATTTAAGAACGTTTAGTAGTTTAGTAGTTACCATGATTTTTCCACGACATTTTGGACTTAAAAGCTTGCAATGACTATCAAACGGTGGGAACTGGTCCCGCGTAATATTCTTATTAAAAATCTTTTTGAGCATTAATCTCTCCCAGTGATTTACGTAAAAGTATCTAAACGGTATTAGTAAGTTTCTAAAGTCTGCCTAAATGTTTCTCCAGTTGTCGATAGATATGTCATTTATTTCTTACCCTTGACCCAAGAGGATTGTTATAAAATGTCTGTTTGTGGCGTCATGACTCTCGAACAAAGGAGTCTATTTTATACGGACTGTTTTTGCATGCAAGAAACTTGCAAAAGATGTTATTGATATTAGAGATAAAATTTTCAACTCTTCCAAAATTATGCTACACTGTGTTCTAGTTAACAAGGTGTATTGATTGACTGAAATCTTACTTTGTTTTGCAGGAGGAGGTGCAGATGTGTGCAACGAAAATTGGTACGAAACTTACTGCATGCCGGATTCATAGAATTATTTTATATATGCTACAGAATAGCTTTCGTCTGACTCGCGTTATAATATATTACGCCGATAAGGCAACTTTATACTTAGTAGAAATATTCAATTACCTTAAAATATTACCATCATAATTAAGCCGAAATCAGATCCTTATATAAATGAACAACATTGCAGGCAGATCTATCACTAGCATTCAATTCATTTCTTAATCCCTTTTTACAATAACTGTTAGGTCCCCTAGACGTGATGGTAAATTAAATCTATTCTCACATTTTATATCCACTTGTAGTACAATATACATAAGTTTTATTCGAACGAGTACAGACGGCAGATAAAGGTTACGCTGAATGGACCAGATGTGAGAAATTAAATAGTCGTATGTAATTCATAATAAATAGATCCATCATACGAATAAGCTTTTATGTAATTTTGTGTGTATGTAACTGTGTATATTTTATTTGCATATGTCATAGAAAGTTTCACAAATATCTCGTAATCTGGCATTTATTTAAACGATCGTGTTATATGTTGTATATCATCTCGTGATCGTCGTGTTGGCCGAATGTTGTTGTGCAAGGCATCTATGTATAATGCCTTCTTTGTACAATCACCTATATTGGCACTTTTTCAGAGGTTTTAACGGCTTGGCCGAGTATGTTGGTACTCGATGGATGAAAATCTGCACCAATATAGGAAATTGTCTGGAGTGTGGTTATGTGTCATCGTCATTTGGATGCGACTGAATGTTCGCCAAAGTATGCGTCGCGTAACATTATAAACTTGTATTATATTTTGTAGCGTTAGCTACACTATCTAACAGGTACATTACATTACATATTTAGGTACATAATATATTGGAATATTAGTAAATGGAATATTTTATTTATGTCAACATTTTAATTTATGAACATTCATCTGTACAAACTGGAAAATTAATCCTGTAAAGTGAATTGTGGTGTACATGTTGTATAGTTTTAAAATTCATTAAATTGTGATTGATTTCTGGTACCTTCTATACCTTGCATCGAAGAATGGAGACCAATTTGTCAGCTGTTTAGATCAAAGTACCAAGTATGCTTTTAGGTGGTGGCCTAGTATAAATAGTTATGCACAAGATACCAATTTTGGAATGGTTTTGAAGTGTTGAAATTGTAATTCTTATAAAAAAGGACTGCTTGCAAGGTACTGAAAGACATGATTACAAAATAGGTTATTTTTAAGTTTAGCACATTGTAATGATATAATATTTTGTAAGGTTACAATATGCAGACACATTTGTAAGGTGTAATTCATGAGAGTAAATGTTGAAAAACATGTTGTTGTTTATTTATTTAACCTTTTGGCTTGTGATTAACTTTACTATCTATTACTACTAATGATAACAGATATAGTGTAAAACTATTTTCAAAACAACACTTTCTATCATTACATATTTTATTAAAGCTATGTATCAGATGCAGATGCATTGCCGGAATCTCTGTCAGAGTACAAATCATGACTGATGTCATTAAGGACTGTAAACACGCAGTTGACAATGTCTGGCGTCTTCATTTTCACCGCTCCGCTATTCTTTACCTCTGCTCTTGGTGTTGACACCTCACACAGGTCAAAAGTAGTAATATCTATCAGGCTTGAGTCAAATATTTGGTTCTGTAGAATTTGGTATACCAATGTAACTAAATCAGATTTCTTTGAAACTTCCTCTTTGATCCTGGAAAGAATATTTTAGCAATTATTAATTTTTAATTCAGGTGATTCTAAATAAACATTATGCTGTCCCTTTTTAACTATTTTACAGTGTTGTAATTATTGTAGTGCAAGTAATTATTGGGTCATAAATTCTATATGAATGGATAATAAAATCAAGAGTTACACAACAAGGCAAGTTACTAATATGACAAACAATACAAGAGTCAATCAGGTAAAAGGAGTACCTATGTAAGGATTACATGATGAATATAAGACAAATGGAATGGAATGTGTGTGGAGTGGTATAATTCTGATATCACTTCACATCACATTATGTATAATTTAACTCACCCATTGCATATAATCTGGATGTCTCCGACTTCAAATGACAGATTCAGCTTGTCTTTGTGGTCCACCTGTGGTGTTTTGTATGTCAATGTAAAAGGGTCTGTGCTGCGAGATGAGTCACTTTCAACAAAGTTGAACCCCAAGTACAGTAGTTGTTGCTGAAAACAAAAAAATAAGCTATTGTTTGGACTGGGTATGTTTTGAACAGCCAAAATTCAATCTCAAATACCAAGTATTGTCCAATATTTAGTTTTAGGGCAGAGGTAATATACAAATTTTACCACACCTAACTGTTTATTGGCACAAATCATCCATAAATGCTTTGATAATCATAAATAAGTTGGTGTTAATAATTATTATTAGTAAAATTACAGATGAAAACACACAGAACAGGTAAAAAAATATTAGTTACTTCTAGCATATAAACAAAAGTACCTGTGTAAAACTAAATTGTTTTATCTGGCAGTCAAATATAGTCTGTAAAATAGTTCTCACAGCATTGCTAATTCTCTGTTCTCCTCGCTCAAGCATATACGGTAAGTGGGTTCCTGTGTCCACTGAGATGTTAATACCCCAAGACAAAAGAATAGCTGCATATGATACCTTACTTTTATTGTTCTTGTCTTGTGTTGATGATAGGACATTAATCTGAAAAATGATAATAATATCAAACACTTTTCGACTTCAAGTTTTAGCGCTTAAGGTTTAAGTTTGCATTTTTGTTTCTGATATGTTCTTTTGATAGTGGCAATTAGAGACACAATAGTAAGACAACAGATGCGTGGATATGTTCACAGGGTTTGATGTATTAGGGACTTCACAAGTTAAATACAAATAAAATGCTCTTTTTAGCAGGTAAGTACCTAGATATTTCTTTATAACTGTTATCAGTCAGTATCTAATGCAAGTGTGCTAAAATTATAAACTATACTTACAATCAAAGCACTAGGGTCATCTTCTGAATACTTTAAATTAACTTGTTCTTCAATTTGAACCACGTACTTAGTAGACGAATTAGCTGGCATTGCACTCACAAGAGTTTGTCTGATTTTGGAAGCATATTGTTTGAGTTTCACTGTACTGTATTGCAAATTGTATAACGGTGATACTTTGCTCAGTCGCCATATGCCTTCATTGTAAATAACTGCAATAATCAAATTGTATTTAATAGAGGAAAGTCTTAAAAATTAAAATGTTTTGTAAACAAAACTTATTTTGCCTTACCAGCTAAGGGATCGCCTGTTACGATATTTTTTGAGATTGAATTATTTTCTCTCTGCCAAGCAGGTTCAGCTCGATATAAAGCCATAGTTGGTTCCTGTTTTGTTTAATATTTAATTCACATTACATCAAAATAAACAACAGAAGTCCTCATAACTTTTGAATAGAAATATCGTTGACCGTTGACGGGGTTGACGTATCTTTGATTGTTACTCTATGCTCTCTGCTCTCCTCTATGGGCTTTTTAAAAGGGGAATCGATACCTTTATATAGTTCTTTAGTTAATTATTTATTTATTTAAAAACATCGATCACTAATAAAGAACTAGATACACAATCAGTGGCAAAAAAATGTCCCAACTGAAAGTCCACCAAACTCAACATCGCGGTGTAGTTTTAGTTTAGTACCACTCGAATGCTCCGAAGGTAAACACGCCTCAGTGCTCGTTAAAAAACTGCAAAAACACACACATCTAATATGCAAAAAAGGATGGAATTTCATATTTTCGTTAAGTAATAATATTATCATTATATAATTGTCATCATTCTATTTTAAATATTGATATTTTATTAAGAAATCAACTTTAAAACTTTTTCCAAATGAAATCGTATTCAAAAACCGGGGTTATAATGCACACAGTTTATAAAGACACTTATACTAAACTTAAAATCATTCTCTAGCATGACCACTTAAGTTGTTCGGTTTACGTGGATTGATTCTGTTCCGTTTAGTAGAAACGCTATTGTTTCTAATTTTATTTATTATTTTTTAAAATAAAAAATAGTTTTTATTTAATATTATACTTCTTTACTGTGTTTATTAAAATATGGAATAGGCAGATGTAATGGATTTAATTTTAACTGCAGTAAAGAAATTTTTTTTTTAGCTTTCATCAAGACCCGTTCGATATGAAAAATTGACAACAATAACGCCAACATTTTCAGTACTTACTTTAGATATATATTCTTTTTATTATTTTACATCTTTTTTATTTGACTTCGAATAGAAAGGATTAAGGAGAACGAAAATAAAAAAAAAGAATTATAACTATATGCATTAGTTTCATTGGTAAATAAATGAACAAACCTATAGAAAAGAATACTATAAGTAATGCGTTTTAATTTGCGTATTTTCTTTTTTTGATAAATTATAAAATACGAAAGAAATATATTTCTTACGAGACATTTCGACTCCAATCATTCTTTGTCCTAGCGGTGAGCCGAAGTCGTTAAATTTTATTGCTTATTTTTGACACTTTGTAAATTCGACTTAAAAACATGCGAATATGGTTCAATTTCTTATGATTTGTGTTTGTCAAGAGCTTCGGTCGCAAAAAGTATTAAGATTTTGTACATCACTTTGTAAAAACAACTCTATGAGTTGCATTTAAGGTTTAATTTACATTAATGCATTTTTATTTCAAGTATAAGTACCTAAATACAGTTGGCGACAGTTTTGAAGCGAACTTTTGTATGGGATTGTATATCTAGTTCTTTATTAGTGATCGATGTTTAAAAATAATAAAAAGATAGACATAGAGCAGCCTTACAACCACATAGTGTACAATGGGTGGTCTTATCACACGGGGTGATTTCTTTCAGACAACCTTTGGATATAATAAGTGAAGGTGCTCGACATGATATTTATTTATAGTCCAGTAGTGAATATTTATGATGTATATACCCCATGGATCTCTGATAAACCAAATTGCATTCTGAGGTTGAAGAAAAGAGGAACCCGTCAAACCCCTCCCACCACGTACTTAAACCAAAATGAAATCGTCTGATTTCCTAATTGCATTTTTTACTATTATATCTACATATCTACCGGTAATCTGACGAAAATGACTGTACACTGTACTTAGTTAGATTTTTGTATTTCTATACCCCCATGTAGCAAGTGTTATTTTTAGTTATGTTATTTGAACGCACTCGCTTTTTTACCGAAATCCTTTCATTGGCTCCCCCACTGTAAATTAGCCACTGAACTGGACTGAACGGCTAAAAGCCCGACTGACGTTTGATTTGACAATTGAACAGATGACATTTTGACGTATACCGTATTGTCAATTCTGTAACATGACAATGACGTGCCAATCTTGATTGAATCTGAACAAAAACTTGTTTTGCCTGGTCTGGTTGCTCACTGAGCATTGAGCAATTTAAATAATAAACTTCATATTTCTACATAATCAAAATACTGTAACGTTACTTGCTTGCGTCACGGTTACAGGGCAATTTGAGATTGAAGGTACGTAATATGTTGACACAACAACAAGTCGGGGAATGATCAATATTATTAAACTTTATCTTGTAAGTGGAACGCACATAACTTGTTTATCGAAAGCGAATGCCAAGTTGGACTTTGAGATTGATAATTACGCCGGGTTGTAACTGTGCGTTGGTCGGTCTCCTCCTCATTTACATTCCGTTTGTCGTGAAGGATGGACCAGCTACGTTTTGACGGTCGTGTTGCGGTGGTTACTGGAGCCGGTGGAGGTCTTGGCAAGGCTTATGCCCTCCTTCTGGCGTCAAGAGGTGCTAAGGTCGTGGTCAACGACCTCGGTGGTGCCCGCGATGGTGTCGGAAAATCAAACTTTGCCGACGCTGTTGTGAAAGAAATCAAGGACAAAGGTATGAGTGTAATAACACATTATTTCAAAACTAAATTAAATTATAAACTGTAATGAGATATTGTTTATTTGGAAAATTATAATGATGATGAATTAATGTGATATATACATTAATTTAACCAGTAAACAAGTTTTACTAAGAATTTACTTATTACTTACTTCTTAATTTTTTTGGTACTTATTTAATGTTTTTGTTGTTGACTTTGGACTCTGCTTTTTAACTTTGCAGTCAAGGTTATCTAGGATGTAGGTAGCTAAAGTTCACACCTGGTTTTTCAACACATATCTAATAATAAATGAAAATATTATAAACATAATGTTTACTGCAAATATGAACTCTTCAGAGCATTTTATATTTATGATAAAATTTATCTTGATACTTCAAGAGTTTTTATATGAGCATTTAATGTTTGTTGTAATGGTCTGGTGTAAAAAAAACTTTTTTATCAACTTTCTGATAATTGGAGTCTTTGGTTAAAATATAAACAACATTTCAAGTGTTATGGAAAGTTTTACATTCCCTGCAATAAAATCAATGACTCTTAATAAGTTTGAATTTAAATTAAGAAAATAATTTCAAATGTAATTTATAAACAATGGTTCACCTTTAATCTTAAGAAATAAGTAATAGTTCACTTTCTCAGCTTGAAATCTGGTGTAACTTATTTATTAATTTACATCAAGAAAATGTTGTGGTCTTTAACTGATTAGTGGTACTAAATATTACTTTTCAATTATGATAATTTGAGACAAAACAGAAGAACAAGAGGTGTGTGAATTGCATTTGATAGCAGTTTTTCTTTTCTCCTCACTAGGTTATCCTACTGTATCATGGGTGTGTTTACAAATTTATAATTTCAAATACACATTACACCCAGGTCTGGAAAAACAATTTGTGGATCACACAAAGGGTTCCACAAAATAATCAGTACAGTCAGGTTGTCCAGAAACAAAAGTGTACCAGATTTTCTTAGTTATTAATAATGGTCTTTGTTAATTAACAAATCCCTGATGAAGACTACCATTTTTATGCCAGATAGTGCTAGAGGTCAGTTTATCTAATTACTATTGCACTCAAAAATGTAAATGTAAATCCAATGGTGTGAAATTAGCTATTTCCAAGAGTCTTTTTATCCAAAAGGGCAATTGTTAATTTAATGTGTTTTTAAAATTTTCTCCAATAAGAGAAATTATAAATATTTCTCAATAAGACTCTAAATAGTTTCAAATTAGCAGTGTGCACATATATTCACCTTTGGTCAGTCCAAAGATTTCTGTAGTCTATCTATCGAAATCGACTAATCTAATAAACTACTATAGCCAAAAAATCGCATAATCTCTAGTTTTATGAGGGTAGATAACACTTAGATAATAGATGACATTTGCTAAATGCCAACATAACTAACCTGACAAGAGATTATAAAACAAAAAAATACTGTACTAGAATAGTAAGTACTAAAATTATGTTTTTATAATAACTATTGTTTAGTAGTTAATTTACTAAAATTATATTCCAAATGATATCCAACTTTTTAAAAGACCTGGCAAACCCTACTATGCATTTACCAGCTGAACTGTTTTTTTTTTTTTGTGAGGGGAAAATCATCAAATGACTTCTCCCGCCCAGGGCCGGGCAGGAGGGAGTGTCAGACTCTTACTGACTAAAACCCCCCTGTTTCTTCTCCTGCTCTGTGCCGAGGTCGCGGTACCTCATTGCGCTTACCCCGCAACCCCGGCTGAACATCAGCCCTTTAGGGCCCCGTCTGTGGTGGTCGCTCTTTGAGGCGCGCGCGGAACGCTACGCGCCGTACGCTCGGGCCTGGTTCTGGTCGGGCGGCGAGATGCCCTTACTCGCCGACCTCAGGCCCGTGCTTACGGTGGCCGGAGATCTTCCCTCGATCCCCGACGCCCGTAGACCAGCTGAACTGTGGAACTACATAATCAATATAACTGAGACTTGTATACTATTTTCCAATAAAAAGTATTTTTATTATTTATGTTGTTATGGTCATTACTCATGACTGTCTGACCTGTTGACCTTTTATAGTACATATGTGTCGAATTTTGTATGTTTCAAATATATATATATTTATAACACAGATGAAAATCTGTATCTCTACTTAGGTACATAAATAAACTCATGTCTTGGTAAATAGAGAAGATAAAAACATCTGGAATAAAACCTATTCAGAAAGAGGTTTCTAAGAGAATTGGGGAGGCTCAGGTTCTGGGAAAAAAGAGTCTTATTAGAGGAGAGACAAGTACCAATTACATTTCCTGTCCTGATTGAGGTGAGAGGGAGTGTCAGACTCTTACAGTCTTAAAGCCACCCTACTTCTCCTGCTCTAGAGCGCTTTATTGCGCTTGGCGCGTAACCCCGAGGACTGTTTAAAATAAATAGGCGTCATATTTAGTCCTTAGTCCCTTCTTTGACTTCATTAACCTACAATATACCTATATGTATCCTAAAACTAATTATTTTTTAACATCACAGGTGGTATCGCAGTAGCAGATTACAACAATGTCGTGGAAGGAGAGAAGATTATTAAAACCGCCTTAGATAACTTTGGTAGGATTGATATCCTTATCAACAACGCTGGTATTCTTCGCGATAGGAGCTTCACAAAAATGTCCGACCAGGTAGATATAATGGATTAATTTATCTCTAGGTT